ACCTGCGCCTTGTAAGTGGCTGGCGTTGTGCCGGCATGAAATACTGTCCCGCTCCGCTGAGCACGCCAAGCTTTTTAGAGGCCTTTTCTTCCAAGTGACCACGAAACTGCACGTCACTTGATATGTCGATTCCGAGGATACTGATACTGGCTGAGGCGACAAGGGGAGTGCCTTGAAACTGAGGAGATACGACAAAGGGGTTCCTTTTAGCGGTAATCGCCCAAACTTGTGTCTTCTGAGGATTAAACTGGACTAGATTTAGTCGCCCCCAATCCGAGACTTTGTTCAGTAAAGACTCGACTTCAGACACAAGTTTGTTCCGGTACTCGGCGACGTTTTCCCGAGAAATATTGGCACGGCCCGTGTATAGAGCATCACCAGTGCTGTCATCCGCATAGCAATGAATGTTATCGGTTTGCAACATATCATTGACATGCAGAAGAAACAGCGTCTATGTCTACTTCCGAATAGCAATAAATCCACTATTATATTCTGGTTTTAAGTATATGGCTCATTAAATACTGTGCAGCCGCTTATCATTAGCTCTCTTATCACCGAATAAAAACTTAATACGGCTCTTATTTTAACAAAGGGAACATTAATAAGACTGATCATTATAGTCAAATTCTTAAGAAGAATGACTAGAATCAGAAGCATGGATAGCATATCTATATGTCATGTTCAAGTTAGTGATTTTTTATGAACTTTATTGGCATTTTGGCATTGTTCAAAAATTTTAAAAAAACCAGTCAAATTATAGAAACGGCACACAAGCAGCAAGGGGCAAGTTTAAAATGATGTAACAGTTTTAGTAATATTATTTAAAAATAGCGACCCGCCCCGGCTTCTCGTCGTCATGTAGATTTTTAAAATTATCATCTATCATAACTTATTTTATGAAATTCGTCGTTTGTCGTCGTTCGAAGTTTAATTACAATCCGTTCAGCCATTCCGAAGATTAGCCCGAACAGACAAACAGACAGCCAGACAGACATTTTATATATGGTTATTCATGATTTAATGGCATGCAAATATCAAGTTTAATATAGGGCAGTTATTTCGATATTATAGACAGACACTTTTTCATTATAAGTATCTATTGTATATACTTCAGTCACTTATATGTGTTCTTAAACCCGAAGGGAAACTACACCATAGTTGTTGGCTTATTCAAAAAAAATATTAAATTTAATGTTATTAAGTTTCTGACATACTCGTAGCTTACGATTTTTCTCTATTTTACATTAAAAAAGTTACAAGCACGAAAGTGAAAACAAGCAAGCCTCAGTCAATATTTGGCATTTACAGTGTAATCTTTCTGGTCAATTTCGATCGCGGCGACGTCTTTTGAATATTGCCGGAAAATAGCATCTTCGTAGGAGTTCACAACACGCTAACAGAGAGGCACACAGTCATTCTAACTTGCGTAGCCAATGTAACGATTAAGAGTAGGTATGTTGCAATGACAATCAAAACATAATTTTATACGTGGTAGAGCTGCTGTTGCTATATTAATTGTATAGTTGTAGCACGAATGGGTTGGCTCGATCTGGGAAGGACCACGCTCTCATAGAATACTGCTTCGTATGGTGAGTGTAGAGAACCGGAGACCCTTTTTACTGGAAAAGAGGCATTCCATCCTTAGTTCGCATGGGTGGCAACGCATCTGTATTTTGATACGCAAACGAGGATAGATGTAGATGTTTATGGGCCACAGTAACCACTTACCACCGGGTGGACTGTGTGATACACAAATACTGTCATTTATTTCTTCTTCAACCCTTTATGGGTTTTCCATATTGGATGTTCCATATTGGCCTTTCCTTGGGAGGATTTGTCTTAGCCGTCACTCTTGCCAGGCGTATGACATGTATTGACAGTTGAAGTTTCACGCACATTGAAAGTCTAATAGTCAAATACTAATAAATACAAATACGTCGTTAAGGCTCGTGGTGTCACAGTCACTTTGACTGAAAGTGATAGAGACAACACGAGACTTAGCGGCATCTTAAAATTGAGTACCGTTTGAGTATTTGGGCATAAGTATCATAAGTTCGCTGTAAATGAGATGATTATAGCGGCATCTATCAGAATAGCATTTCCGACAACCACGGAAAGAAATGGGCTCATCGATTCTCGTGCGCCGCCGCCACTCGGCAGTCCTTGTGCCTCCGTCGCTATAAATTGAATAACCTGCGCAGGTAAAAAATTCCCTTTGATGACCCAAAAAGTCACTGTGTCAATGTCGACACGCATGCTTTACGTTTATGTGGCTGTGTTAGCTACAGACGGACTCTTCCCATTCTTTCTATTTCATGAGAATCCTGCAGCATCTTTTTTAATAGGATAGGGTGAAAAACGAGCACACAGACCACCTGATGGTAAATGGTGCTGTAGCCCATAGACATCTATATCTATCCTCGTTTGCGAATCAAAATGCAGATGCGTTGTCACTCGTTGGGACTAAGATGGAATGCCTCTTTTCCAGTAAAAAGGGTCTCCGGTTCTCTACACTCACCATACGAAACACAGCAGTATTAAGCTGCTATTTTACGCTGGTATTCTGCTAATATAGCTGCAGCATGGCTCTACCACGTATAAAAACCTTTTGCCACACTTTACTCATATTCTATCCACTATAATAATAGCCGTCCTTTAGTTCGTTAACACGGCTGGCATGAATACTGTTACCCATAGACATCCACGAGTACATCTATCCTCAGTTAAGAATCAAAATGCTGGTGTTCCACAAGGCTGTGTGCTATCACCAACGCTGTTTCTTCTGCATATCAATGATATGTTGCTAACTGGTAACATTCATTACTATGCGAATGACAGCACTGGTGATGCTCTATACACCGGCCGTGCCAATATTTCTCGGGAAAACGTCGCCGAGTACCGGAACAAACTTGTGTCTGAAGTCGAGTCTTTGCTGAACAAAGTCTCGGATTGGGGGGCGACTAAATCTAGTCCAGTTTAATCCTCAGAAGACACAAGTTTGCGCGTTTACCGCTAAAAAGAACCCCTTTGTCGTATCTCCTCAGTTTCAAGGCACTCCCCTTCTTGCCTCAGCCAGTATCGGTATACTCGGAGTCGACATATCGAGTGACGTGCAGTTTAGTGGTCACTTGGAAGAGAAGGCCAAATTGGCCTCTAAAAAGCTTGGCGTGCTCAGCAGAGCGGGACAGTATTTCATGCCGGCACACCGCCTGCAACTTTACAAGGCGCAGGTTCGGCCTCACATGGAATACTGTTCCCATCTCTGGGCAGGGGCTCCCCAGTGCCAGCTCCTTCCACTTGACCGCATCCAGCGCAGAGCGGCTCGAATCGTCGACGACCGAGCCCTTTCCGATCGGCTCGATTCATTGGCACTGCGAAGAGATGTTGCATCCCTTTGCATTTTCTTTCGCATCTACCATGGGGAGTGCTCTGAGGAATTGTTCGGATTAATCCCAGCCGCCAAATTTCACGAACGCACATCGCGGCAGAAATCCCGATACCATCCACACCATCTGCATGATTGCCGCTCCACCACTGTGCGATTTAGAAGATGTTTTCTTCCTCGCACGACTTCCTTGTGGAATCGATTACCATCAGCGATTTTTCCGCACCGATACGACTTAGGGACCTTCAAGAAAAGAGCGTACTCCTTTTTAAAAGGCCGGCAACGCATCTGCAATTCCCTCCCTGGTGTTGCAGTTGTTCATGGGCGGCGGTAGTCACTTACCATCAGGTGAGCCGTATGCTCGTTTGCCCCCTCTTCTATAAAAAAAATGTGTTACCACCCTGAGGGATCAAAATGGTAAGCAGTTCTCTTCACTCACCAAACGTGACACAACACCGTTATGCTAGTATTTTAAGATAGTATGTATGAGCGATCATGACCCATCCCCGGTCGAGCCGTACACTGTAGCTTGTCTCTACAACGCCACCTAAAAAGTTGACGATGATGGCAAACCTTTTCCTAATAGGGGAGACCTACGTCCAGCAGACTTTTACAGACTGATAGTGGTAATATTAATCTATTAAACTAAACCTCTTAATATTCCGGCATTAGACGGCTCCGTGGCGCAGTGGCTTAGCAATTAGTTGTTGCGCTGGGGGCTGCGGGTTCGAATCCCGCACGGAACAATTATTTGTATGGCCTACAAATAATTGTACCGGGTCTGGATGTTTGTCCTTGTGCAATTTATGTTTGTAAACTGCCTCCACGACACAGGAGAAAATCCTAGTGTGGGGGTGACGTTTTTTTAAAAATAAAAAAATAAAAAATTCCTAGCTTTGTTATCGATATAAAATCAAATAATAAAAACATTTATGTACGTAATAAATTAAAATATTCTTTACCGCAATCATTATCATTATTACAGTCTATGACAAAACCACTTCTGTACACTTAAAGAATGCCACAAAGGTATTCCAGATTGTTACCTCAATGGTTCACCAATGTTATTTTAATTTTCATTAAAATAAGTTCAATAATATATACATATTATATGCTAATATAATATTACACAAACCCTTATTATTTGTGAACGTTTCTAATTTTCAATTATTATTATTATTAAATTATTTCTTAAAACTTTATTATATTGTAGCCATAACAGATAATATTTTAAATTTAACGTGTTGTATCATTCGAAAAGTTTCGTTGTTCGGCCACAGATGGCAGCACGTGTGACTAACGTAGGTATTGATTTTCCTCACGCATACACCACATCTTTAAGCACGACGTCGGAAAATCAATATTCGTTGTGAACGTACTGGAAAAACCATTTCTATGACTGTACTTTGCAAAACTTGCTTCAGAAACTAATATTATACATTATAGTCTTGTGCATTCGAGTGTGGAATAAACTCTGTAATAGGAGACAGTGGAAGGAAGAGAAAACCTTACTTTATTACGAATAAATTCTAGTTGGAAATGTGTATTAAATTGTGATCAAGATTCCGAATAGAGTGCGCGCTGTTTTGCTTAATCGTTTATTTGCTAAAGTATTATGCGTTCACTAACCGCTGTTCATGGGGTAGATCCCTTGCCTGAACTAGGCATACCATCTAACATACGAGGGCCCAACGAAAACCCCGATGCCGATATGGCCGGGGCGCAAGATACAATTTATCTGTGCAATTTCCGCGTATCAGTGGACGGAGAGTGGCTGTGCCTTAAGGAGTTGCAAGATATAGAGATGCAAGACTCGTACACACGTCCTGCTGAAAATGGTGCGATCACTTCACCGGACGATCCGATGCATTCTTTGATGGGTAATTTAAAAAATGAACTAGTTTTCAGACGGTGTTTGGGCCGTAGTAGAATTCTTAATACATATTTTAGATAAGAATGCATGCGGAAGTTTATTTGTACACTCACATTCTTTTTGTATCATTGTAATTAAGACTTAATTAATTTGTATAAATATTATTTTAGAATAAGTAATAAATTATTAGATCTTTTCATATTATGATAGCTTATGCTCTTTGTGTTATGTAAAAATTATTGACTTTTTATTTTACTCTAGCACGAGACCCCGTGGTGATAGAACGCAGCAATCTCGTTAATATCTCAAAGTTGATCGTGAAGGAGCTGATTGAACAATCACTTCGCTATGGAAGGATGCTTGACAGCGACCATTTACCCTTACATCACTTTTTCATTGTACTGGAACACGTTATGCGTCACGGGCTTAAACCGAAAAAGGTAATTAACTTAAACGTACAAATTACAAAGTCCAAAGCTTACTATTCTTAAATTTTATCTGTGTACCTTTCGTGAACCTAATAATGATTTCTGTGATATCGTAAATGGTGATGGAAATTCCACGACTAAGGTGATGATTATGAAAGAACATTAGACAAAGTTTTTTTTTTATAGGATAAGGGTGACAAACGAGCACATCGTCCACCTGATGGTAAGTGGTTGCTGTGGCCCATAGACATCTACATCTTGTAATTAATTATACAAAATTTATCGTAATATTCTTTTTCACATGCTAATATTTTTATGTATGTTTGTCTTTCACGTCGACTTCAATCGTGGGTAAAATTCAAATGTGGTGAAAACTATCAAAGGCCCAGGAAATATTATAGTGCCATAAGCGTCCGTGCTATATGCACTTTCATCCTAATCTACTTCGATCCAGACTCTAGACTCCAAACTACCAAAGACCCATGTATCGCTTTGGCGATATGACCGGAGATAGGTTATGTGGTTCATTATAACCTGTCTCCTGTGTCATTTTTTGCGTAATATGATTATGAAAAAATATTTTAAATCTGTAATTTTGTCACGTTTTTACTTTACTTAAAAATATAATAACTATATATTTATCGTATAATACTTACAGGGTCTTCTTGGGCCTAAGAAAGAGCTATGGGACATACTTCAAATGGTTGAGAAATATTCGCCGGAAGCGGCTGATATAACGGCTAGCGTAAGGGACCTTCCAACTGTTAAGTAAGTAATTGTTGAAATAAACAAACTTCTGCGTGGTAGTCTATTTGATTTTCTTCTAATTTAATTTTTAATTTAGTTCTTTGTGCTCTTCGAATCTTTCTTACACTTTTTATAGATAAATTCTTGCAAACTTCGAAAACGAAGATGTTCTTTAAAAAATAATGTTTTTAAAACTACTGAGTGACACTAATAAAACACTATTAAGAGATTTCCTTAGAGTGTAAAAATGACTAGATTTTTCTCTCTGTCAAAATTCTGCTTTTGTATTTCAAGTGTATGTCTGGAGACCGAAATTTTTAAAATAATTTTGGAAATTAAAAAATAAGCTCATTTTTATTTTTTATCGTTAGAGTCTTTCACAATTCCACTGCTGAACATAGGCCTCCCCCAAGGAATGCCACAAAGCACGCGCTTAAGCCACCTACATCCATCGACATCCTGAATCTCTAATCAGGTCGTCACTCAATCTAGTGCGGAGCCGCCATACACTTCGCTTACCGGTACGAAATTGCCACTCGAAAACCTTTCTTCCCCATCGGTTGTTGGTTCTTCGCGCTTAGCCAGCCCATTGCCACTTCAGGTTACTTAGGTTCGTTGGGCTACGTCGGTTTCTCTGGTTCTACTGTGAATATACTTATTTGTAAGTCTATCACGCAAGGAAACTCCGAGCATAGCCCCCTCCATTCGGCTTTGAGCTTCCTCATACAACCAGCAGTGAAGGGCTATGTCTCAGATCCATTTGTCATCACTGGCAACACATTCTTTTTTCAAATTTTAAGGTGAACGTGATGAAAAAATGTGTCGTATTTTCCTGAATGTCGCCTAGTATAGTTGGATCCGTCGATTGGCCTCTCAGTCGAAGTTGGACTTACCCGATCGGACAATTTGTTACATAAACTTAAGTAAACAAACTTGATAACACTTTGGGCGTAGTGCTCCCAAAACTACTGGCATGGTGGACGTTACACATGACCTTTCTATCCATGTTCATTTTATGAACTCTGTGTACGGCTGCCTGTAGATCCTCCCATAATTTCAGTAGTCCCGGAAATGACGCTGCCACAATCGGTCTTCAATTTCGGCAGTTGCTTGCTCTTTCCAGCAGACAAATCTCTAGCAATGACTTTGGAACTTTGGTTCCGCATAATCGCATCTTAAATACAGGTGTATTGAAGTTACGTAAGTCTCACTAAATGCATTTGGAGATCCTATTTATTCAGTTGCCTGTATATCATATCCGGTAAAGACTGCAGCTTCATATCACGTCTAATGCCATGAGATTGATACGTGTCTTGCAATACTTAGCTCCGATCGCATCACATTCCCATGAGATTGTCATTATTTTTATTAATTGATTTGAATCAGAACACGAGGGGGACGGAGCGTTGACTTCATTAGACGTGACCTCTCCAACTTAACGTTAAGATTCTTTGTAACTGTCACCATTCGGTAATCACTTCCAGTTTTTACCATCATGATCTCTGGGATATCACTAAACAGTTGCCGTCTGGTATAATTAAGTCAATCTCATTTTTCGTCGAACCGTCTCGGCTAGACCAGGTCCACTTCCTGTGGGTCGCTTCTGAATAAAAGAGTTCATCATAAATAATCCCTCCTTGATAAAGTCTGCCAACTGTTGACTCCTTGGGTTCCGTTGCCTTATTCCAAATTTCTCTACCTCCTGCACACTGTCCTTTGTTGTTCCCAGTGTTTTTGTTGAGGTCTTCCATCAGGACCGAATAGACGGTTGAAGGCATGGCTCTAAAGATATTCTCATACATCTCCTTCATCTCTTGATACGGATGTGCAGAGGTTGGTGCTAAAACCTGTGTGACTTTCAACGAATACTTTTTGTTTGTGTTTGGTACGCAATCCTCGTCGATACACTCTAAATCTTTAGAATGTATCGATGAGGGTTGGGTCAGGTGGTTGCCCTCCTGATGATAAAACAAGTTGCCATATTCAAGGATTACTGCTCTTCTCCCACTCTTTGGAGTTCAGGTAATCCTATAATATCCCATCGCAACTTGCCTCCAGCTCCAGAATCTTCGCGTCAATCTTCAGGGTGTGTGCGTTAAATGTTTGTGGCAACCGAACTTTTACCGGCGATTCTTAACACCCCATGCTTCGCTGTTACCATAGTTGCCACTTTAGCCAGAAATACACAGCCGAGGACTGATGACCATATGTATCTATGTAACGGAATTTTCGAATGTGATTTTCATTCTCCTTAAAACGTCGGATTGATGTGAAACTGTACACTTATCAAGGACCGATGACAATGCAATAATTTAAATAGTTTGTCCCATGATCCTTGCCAGGATCCTCAGGATTTGCGAATAATTCATAAAACAACTACGATTTCTGCCAGTTCAATCTATTGTAAGCCGGCGTAAAAGAACTTCGTTCCAAAAAAACACGCTTTTGTAGTTAGCCGCACTAAAAATAGAAATCATTACAGCCTTTCACAAGTCCACTGCTGAACATAGGCCTCCCCCAAGGAATGCCACAAAGCACGGTCCTGAGCCACCTGCATCCACCGACTTCCTGCATATCTTACCAGGTCGTGACTCCATCTAGTGGGGGAACGCCCTACACTTCGTCCACCGGTACGAGGCCGCCACTCGAGAACCTTTCTTCCCCATCGGTTGTCGGTTCTTCGAGCTGTATGGCCGGCCCATTGTCACTTCAGCTTACTAATCCGTTGGGCTACGTCGGTCACTGATTCTACTGCGGATTTCTAAGTTTATCACGCAGAGAAACTCCGAGCATAGCCCTCTCCATAGCTCGCTGAGCGAACTTGAGCTTCCTCATCCGGCCAGCAGTGAAGGACCACGTCTCAGTTCATATGTCATCACTGGCAACACGCACTGGTTGTACAGTTCCACAGTCTCGTTTTCAAGTTTTGAGGTATACCTGACGAGAAGATGTACCGTAATTTCCCGAACGCTGCCCAACCGAGTTGAAACCGTCGATTGACCTCTCGGTCGAAGTTGGACTTACCTAGTCGGACTATTTGTCCCAGGTAAACATACTCGTCAACAACTTCGAGCTTAGTGCTCCCAACAACTACCGGCATAGGTGTGACATGGACATTAAACATGATCGTTGTTTTGTCCATGTTCATCTTAAGACCTATCCGTTGGGAAACACTATTGCGGTCATTGAGCATAGTGCTTAGGCCCTCCAGCGATTCTGCCATAAGGACTATATCGTCGGCAAATCGAAGGTGAGTAATGTACTCACCATTTACTTTAATACCGTATCCTTTCCAGTCCAGAAGCTTGAAAACGTCTTCCAATGCAGCGGTGAAGAGTTTCGGTATAACGTCACCCTGTCTTACAACTCTCTGCAATAGGGTATTTTACACCATGTAAAAAAAATCAAAGAATATATATTTATGATAGATTTTGTAAAAAGTTAACGAGAAATATTGATTTCTATTTATAAAAATGCATTATAAATTTTATATTTCAATTTAAAGAATTTTTTTTTACCTGTGCCTCAAAACTGCAAAACGATGTCCACCATATTAGATAGCGTCGTGACGTCACTAGTTCAAAGAACTAGGTTATGTGCTGTGTACTAAGCTAATTTCGAAATTTTTCAAGTTATTTTTACGATTGTTGACTTTTATTCCGAATTTTATTGAAAAAGCTTCATGGAAGACGGATTCGTAAAAGCGAGTTTATTACTTCGCTTTTAGCACTAATGTTATAGATATTACGAGGACGGCACTGAAAATTTCGGGAATCAAGGAAGTGACACAACATTACTATTTAAAAATGTATTTATTGCTTTTCGAAGTATTCTCCGCGAAATTTGACACATTTTTCCATACGATGGAACCAATCATTGAAGCAACCATTCCATTCGGAAGTTGGGGTCTCCACAATGGCCGTTTTGTAGGCGTCCACAGCTTCTTCAGGTGATGAAAATCTCTGTCCACGCAATTTATTCTTTATTTTAGGGAAAGTATAGAAATCATTAGGGCTTAGGTCGGGGCTGTACGGCGGATGGTCTAATAATTCTATGTTTTCTTGCCCTAAAAACTCTTTTGTTCTGTGTGCGGTGTAAGAACTCGCATTGTCGTGATGGAGGATGATGCGGCGGTCGCAGTTCTCTTTACGGAGTTCAGAAACGACCTGTGGCAAACAAATGCTAGCATACCATTCTGCATTAACCGTTCTTTGTCCCTCAAGAGGAATAGTCGTAACATGGCCGGTTTTGGAGACAAACGTGGCCACCATTTTTTTGCAACACTCCGTGAACGAACAATTTTTGTTGGCTTTAACTCATTTTCGAACACCCAAACTCGTGACTGGTTTTTTGTTACGGGTTGGTACGCGTATATCCAGGATTCGTCACCTGATACGATGTTGTATACAGCATTTGAGGATCCTGCGTGGAATCTTTCGAGAGTTCTGACGCACCAAGTAACGCGAGCCGCTTTTTGCTCTTCACAGAGCGAATGCGGTATCCATCGGGAAAACAACTTTTTTACACCTAATTGTTCATGCAAGATTATTTGCATTTGACTCATGCCCATGTCTAAAGTTGCCTGAATTTTGCGGTATGTCACATGTCGATCTTCCTCAATCAGCTTACGCACAGCATCAACGTTTTCTTGGGTGACTGCAGTTTTTGAACGACCTTGACGGGGATCATCACTGAGCTTGACACGTCCACGTTGAAATTCAGCAAACCAGCGATAAATTGTGGTTTTGAATGGGGCTTCATCACCAAATGCAGAAATCATCCGGTCAATACACTGTTTTTGTGTTAAACTACTTCGAAAGTCATAATAAATCATCGCTCTTGAATTTTCTCGAGTCAATTCCATTTTCTCAACGACTAAACAAGTTTGACCTTGTGACAAAACCGAGAATCTTTTTTTAAATAAATAAATGGTATTCGATTTTTAAAACAAAGGACTTTTCAATTAAAAAGATTTTAATATGACGGGAACAGTGGAAATATTCCATTCCCGATACTGCAGCCTATGTATAATATAAGCTTAGGTGAGAAAAACTTTTTGTTATATTTTTTTGTACAAACCCTCAGACGAAATAAAAAGTCACTTTTTTATTTGGTCTGAGTACAAACCATGTCTTTATACCCATATAATAGAAGAAAACAGAAATTAAGTAAAACAGTGCACTGCACTTGCAAGGGCTATCAAAATGGCCACAAAGAGCGGGACAGACAAGCGATTAACCTAATCTATTACAAAATTTGTCTTGCAATAGGTATCTATCATGTCATGATGTTTTATTTTGTTTAATCAATAGTTAAATATGAATCATAATTACATCAAAGTGATCTTCACAGAAGTATAGTTTAGATTTTGTAGACAATGCCTTCGGGTCTCTTCTTGCCAGTTTTAATCAAGTATTTCTCATATTTAAATCAGTGGGCACTTTAATCCATTACTTCCCCGTCGTTCTTATGCTCGTATTTTTGCAATCAGGCACAACACAACAATGATATAAATGATAACTCATTATTAAACATTCAAAAGTATCTTATTCCTTTGGAAAATTGTCAAAATTCTACGACAGTGACGTCACAAGTTGAACAGTATGGCGGCTAGCGTTTTCACGCGAAAATTTGAAACGATAGATTAAAAGTAATTTTTATGTCACTATTCGGTTTAAAAAAAATTATATAAAAATTATAGTGGTTTATTATCTCATCACTCTAGGATTCATTTAAAACACTTTTTGAAAATGGGTGTAATACCCTATTGGATAGGTTTCATACTCTGGTTCTGTACTCTGATAGCCATCGTAGCCCTACTGTACAAGCACTTCAGCACTTCGATATACCGACAGTCCACTTGCCACCGCTGAAGGGACTGCAGCACCGCCCAAATTTCGACGGAATCAAAGGCTTTCTCATAGTCCACATACGCCAGACATAGTGGCAAATTGTACTCCTCGGACTTCTGTACAATTTGCCGACTTACTGCATGTCTTACCAGAATGTCACATTTAGTGGGGGGGCCGCCCTACACTTCGCTTACTGGTATGAAGCGGCCACTCTAGAACCTGTTACTTCCCTAACGGTTGGCCATTCAGCTCAGTTGTCTATTAGTCTGTGTCGGTTAATCTGGTTTTACTGCGGATATGCTCATTACAAAGTTCCTCACATGGAGAAACTCCGAGCACAGCACTCTCCAGGACGTTGATCTAGTTAAGTAAACAATTTTACTAACTTTACATCTTTTTAGAACTGCTATGGGCCGTGCCCGGGCCTGGTTAAGACTTGCACTGATGCAAAAGCGCCTGGCAGATTACCTGAGGATTCTGCTAGAACGTCGCGAGGAAACATTGGAGGAGTATTTTGAACCTCATGCCCTGATGTTAAACGAGGAAGCAGTTATCATCACCGGTTTATTAGTTGGCCTTAACGTCGTCGACTGCAATTTATGTGTAAAGGTAAGTTTTGTTACTATAGTCAAGTCGTCAATAGGTATATTAAAATCGTTTATACTTCAACTGATAAAAAACAAACCCTTCGCCAAATCGCAGATATTCATAAGAAATACTTCATTTAAATTATTTTGATTTTGGTAGAATTTGTAAGTTTAAAAGTTACCAAATTAAAGGAAACTCTATACAATAATCAAATAACTGCGCCCCGCATACGTTTTAATGCTTTTGTTGCGTTTGAAACTTTCGTGGACGCTCACACAACTCATCAAAGTTTCATCGTAATCGGATAATTGGTATAGGAGACTCATGGAAGACGAACAAACAAACTTATATTTTTGTCAGAAAACTTCGCGGGCGGGCACAAAACAACTCACCAAAGTTTCTTCGTAATGAGATGAATGGTGTAGAAACGTATGGAATACTATCATACAAATATATCAAGTTACATAATATCGTAGTTAGTCTTTGACATAGTTGACAGTACAGAAATGTTATACTTATTAATAGTGAGCTTGATGAATATTTTTAATTTTATAAAAAGAATAGCATGTACAATAAAACAAAGTCCAGAAGGACTTTAAGCACTCCTGCTGGGTTTTAATTTTAAAGCTCAGGCTATAGGTATGTATGTTGTTACATTAATTGTTAATACATGTTTGGCATGTGATGGCAACATACGAGAACTATTTTTATTTATTAAATTAATACCTTGTAGCAAACAACATAGCTAATCTCGATTAACATACTACAATATAATTCGATTTTATTAAGTCCATAATGACTTAAACTACGCAAAAAATAAGGTTTAATTTAATTTTATTGTGTATTTTACCTATAAAATTTACATTTTGAGACCCTTTCTTGTCCACCACATTCTTCAGACCTTGCCTCAATGGAATCCCACTTTTTTTGAAATGTAGACAACTCTTTGATAGACAAATATTTATATTCCGAAAGAGTAAAGAATAATAATAATAACATTTATAGGGTAATAAGGGCATTGTAAATTAACACAGTGTTATAACTATATTTGAGACCTCCTTTTAAATATTTAAAATATTTATACCAGAATGTCACATCATAGCCTTATATTATAAACTTATTACCAATAATTTTGCGTGTGTGGGTGTGCTTGTGCATGTGTGTGTGTGAATCAAAATGCAGATGCGTTGTCACCCGTGAGGACTAAGATGGAATGCCTCTTTTCTAGTAAAAACGGTCTCTACATTCACCATACGATACACAGCAGTATTAAGCTGCTATTTTATGCTGGTATTCTGTGAGAGCGTGGTCCTTCCCCGGTCGAGCCGACCCATTCGTGCTACAACAATACTACTAATATAGCTGCAGCATGGCTCTACCACGTATAAAAAAATATTTGTTCAACGAACGATATGGGTCTTATTAGCGGTATGGTCTTTGTCTCCATAACTATATCGTAACATCTAAACTTATCGTTTAAGAGTTATCGTACTCAGAATTGTGGATGTTGTATATATTATATAAATAATCGGTTCTTGACTTTTATGGCTGCCAACCCTGTCTGTACTTGAATCATAGAGATGAGATGGGATAAAATAGGGTGATAATTTTTTTACAGCGCCAAAGTACAGTGATAGTTTTGATCATTCTTTATATTGTCTCTCATAATAAAATTCTATCAATACAATTTTACTTATCGAAGAAAAATATTCTGTGTAATCTTACACCTTGACCTTTATTTTAAATCAACCGAATCGTCGATTTCTTTTGTCAGGTTAATGTAATGCATTTAATTTACCATTAAAAACCAATTTATTTAATCACTTTAAAAATTAGACAGTGTTTCTACAATTACTAACTGAATGCCTTATTGTTTTGTAATAGGAAGAAGATCTGGATAGTCAACAAGGGGTCATAGATTTCTCTTTGTACCTACGTGGTAGCAATTCGTCTAACGACATAGCCGGTAATGGGAACAATACCAACAACGAGCCGAAGCAACGTCACATTAATACGATGCTAGATCAGAAGAATTACATTGAAGAACTTAACAGACATCTCAAGTAAGTATAGTTATTTTTGTCACAGTGTGTGTGTGTGTGTGTGTGTGTGTGTGTGTGTGTGTGTGTGTGTGTGTGTGTGTGTGTGTGTGTGTGTGTGTGTGTGTGAATATGTGAGGGAGAGAGAGAGTGTGCGTGTATGTGTGAGTGAGTGAGAGAGCGAGCGTGCTTGCGTGCGTGCGTGTATACATGTGAGTGTGTGTATTACTACGATTTCATATACTAATATTATCAATTTACATGCATATAGCGTCTTAATTGGATGACGATTGAAAAATATAATATGTTAATGTTAAATACAATTGAAGGACAAATACGTACTGTATTTACTTTGTAATTACTCTCTCTTTTACAATTATTGCATGCCTTAAGCGCGAAGCGCGCGGGTATGTTCTGCTAGGGCCTAAAAATTAAGATTCCAACGTTTTGTCGCATAAAATCGTATCTAGCAATCATATTATACTTATCATCATCATCATCATTACAGCCTTTCATAAGTCCACTGCTTAACATAGGCCTCCCCCAAGAAAGCCACAAAGCACGGTCCTGAGCCACCTGCATCCATCGACTTCCTGCATGTCTTACCAGGTCGTCACTCCATCTCGTGGGGTGTCGCCCTACACTTCGCCTACCGGTGCGACGCTGCCACTCAAGAACCTTTCTTCCCCATCGGTTGTCGGTTCTTCGAGCTATATAGCCGGTCCACTGCCACTTCAGCTTACTAATCCGTTGGGCTATGTCGGTTACTCTGGTTCTACTGCGGATATCCTCATTCATAAGTTTATCACGCAGAGAAACTCCGAGCATAGCCCTCTCCATAGCTCGCTGAGCGACCTTGAGCTTCCTCATACGGCCAGCTGTGAAGGACCACGTCTCAGTTCCGTAAGTCATCACTGGCAACACGCACTGGTTGTATAATGTCGTTTTAAGGTTTTGAGGTATGTCTGACGAGAAGATGTGTCGTAGCTTCCCGAACACTGCCCAGCCGAGTTGAATCCGTCGATTGACCTCTCGGTCGAAGTTTGACTTACCTAGTCGGACTATTTGTCCCAGGTAAACATACTCGTCGACAACTTCGAGCTTAGTGCTCCCAACAACTACCGGCATAGGTGTGACATGGACATTAAATATAATCTTTGTTTTGTCCATGTTCATCTTAAGGCCTATCCGTTGGGAGACACTATTGAGGTCATTGAGCATAGTGCTGAGGTCCTCCAGCGATTCTGCCATAAGGACTATATCATCGGCAAATCGAAGGTGAGTGATGTACTCGCCATTGATGTTAATACCGTATCCTTTCCAGTCCAGAAGCTTGAAAACGTCTTCCAATGCAGCGGTGAAGAGTTTCGGGGATATAACGTCACCCTGTCTTACACCTCTCTGCAATTGAATAGGTTTCGTACTCTGGTTCTGTACTCGGATAGCCATCGTAGCTCTACTGTACAAGCACTTCAGCACTTCGATATACCGACAGTCAACTTGGCACCGCTGAAGGGACTGCAGCACCGCCCAAATTTCGACGGAATCAAAGGCTTTCTCATAGTCCACATACGCCAGGCATAGTACGAAATTGTACTCCTCGGACTTCTGTACAACTTGCCGAAGGGTATGTATGTGGGCTATTGTGCTAAAGCCCTTTCGGAAACCGGCTTGTTCGGGAGGCTGGAAGTCGTCAAGTCTGCGTGCGAGACGATTCGTAATGACTCTCGAAAACAGCACGTAGACGCGGTTCAGAAGGGAAATCGGTCTGTAGTTCTTCAAGAGAGCATTGTCACCTTTCTTGAAGAACAAGACCGCCGCACTTCTGCTCCACGCCTCCGGTGTAATGCCACCACGGAGGACGGAATTAAAGAGCCTCTGAAGGACTTCCAGTACCGGTTTTGCACCCGCTTTCAGAAACTCCGCTGTAATTCCATCCTCGCCTGGGGCCTTGCCGTTTTTAAGATGCTGGAGAGCCATTCTAATCTCGCTCAGACTGACGTCCGGGATATCTTCGGAATAGTGTCGGATAAGACTCGCTCTTGCATCGTTACTCACACTTGCGTGTAGCTCCAACTATGACGTGTACAGCTGTCCATAGAACCTCTCAATCTCACTCAAAATCTCAGGTGCCCCGGAAACGATTCTGCCACACTCGGTCTTCAGCTTTGACAGTTGGCTCTTTCTGGCAGACAGATGTCTGGCAAAGACTTTGGAGCCTTGGTTCCGCTCGATCGCTTCTTCAATACAAGCTGTATTGAAGTTCCGTAAGTCCCGCCGCATGCATTTGGAGATCTGTCTGTTCAGTTGCCTGTATGCTGTCAAATCTGTTGAAGAATGTAGCTTCATCTCCCGTCTAACAGCCATGAGATTAAGAGTGTGATCGGAGAGTTTTTGTGTTCTTCTGCAGCGGGTCTTGCAGAACTTAGCTCCGACCGCATGGACAGTTTCCACGAGCTTGTCATTCATATCGTCCACTTCATTGCTAATTGTTAATTAATTATTATCGCTAGCTTGTGTTTGTTCCTAGTGTTGTAAACACCAGTTTCTCGACTCCACAGAGTCAGTAGTTCATTTTTGGGGCAATGTATACGCTATTACAACTAGGTCCCGGAAAGTGTACAGGCTCTCTCTATTACCAAGTTTAAATGTTTTGTTAAGTTGAAACTGTATAAAAAGGGTTATTATAGTATAAATGAATACATGGTTGATAATAATCCCTGGGAATGAGGTGGTCGCTTCCAAGCTGTTTCTAAAATAAATTTACTTATATAGTTTGTACAACCATTAATGTAAAATATGCTTTTAAAAAAACCGCTGGGTTTCTTGCTGGTTCTTCCCAGGACAGAGGTTTCTTTTTTCGAACCAGTGGTAAAGTAAAAAATTGACTTTCAATAAGAATTACACATGTGATCTATATTGAATAAAAAATTATTCTATTCTAAGGCAAGATGGGGTACCTAACAACAAACAGATATAAATTATTTATTAGCTTGACAGTGGACACATATATGTATCACTTTTCCATTTTCTACAGCGGCACACGTGCAGTGAGCCTATTTACATACCCGACAACTTATCCATCCTTCCACTCAATCCAAATATAGTTCAGCGCTATACAAACATGCAGGACTCTCGTTTTCTATTTCCGTTTTATCTGATTCTGATGAAGACTGTCTTTCCTGCTTTTTTTGTTTTTTTTTTCTTGTATTTTATCTTCGACTTCCCTTACCCTTAAGTTTTGTACTTGATACATAATTCAGTTTTTTCTTCACTTCTTTCTCCTCTTCCACTCGTTTCTTATTTTAATGCTATCTCCTATACTATTTTTGTACGGGGAGGACGTAATAAAAAGTACTTCCACGTTATCTTGAGACACGAGTCTTATGTTTTAGGATTGGAAAAGGACTCAATTCATTTGACCGAACCAATAAAAAAGAAATATAATGTTTTGGTTCTAGGGTCTTATTTTGACGATCAACCCAACGTGAACAACTAGCTTGAGCTTCATTAATTTGATCCGTAGCCTGTGTTTTTGGTGACTGATTTGGTTTAGGTTCCATTCACGGAGCAAATACAAAGAGGAGACGGCCTAAGCAACTGTGCACTGTGAATCTAACTAAGTCCTGACGTCATCACAGTGGGCGTGGCTTTAACGTTAGTATTCATTCTGTAGTAGTATTAAGAAGAAAAGGATGAAGTGTTGTGTTTTATCATGTAAAAACTATTCAAATAGACGATCTGATGCTATGGATGGCATCACATTTCATTTGTTAGTAATTCTATACCAAATTTATTAAAGTAGTTCTAGAAAACTCTCTGCGTCGGCTTTCAAATGTAATTAAATATATTCGACACTAGATAGCGACACTTTGTGTCAGGGGAATTAAAAGTATAAAGGTACGTACAGCTTAATATTGGTAAAATAAACATACGAAGGTATTCAAATTTGTTTTGCATTCAATCCTAAAGAAGTTTTAATCGCCAAAGTATTATTTTTTAGAGTTTTTATAATCATTTTGTGAACAGGCCGCCATCTATCGTCAAGGTACCTAAAATACATATCTACATCGATATGGAACGATGCAAGTAGTTTTATTTGTGGGCGGTACTTAACACCCCCTCACCCCTCAAATTATCACGCGCTGTTACATGTTACATAGTGAAATCGAATTACAACACCTCCTCTTTGTATTTGCTCCGTGGTTCCATTTCATTATTATGAAGACTCGTATCTATAACAAGGTATGTCTTTTCATACAAAGGAATGTCCGTTGTCATAAAAGCATTAAAATCAACTTCTGTAAAAACAGTGGCCTGATTCCACATTTTTTCAAATCATTGATGGTACTAGATATTGTAGCTGACATAAAAGCTTTACGAAACAATTCCGCTGCTTGAAATGTTGTAAGAAAACGTCCTGGATTTGAACGAAGCCATGATGATATCGTTTGATCATATAATGTGCTTAGGGGTTTCATAAATAATACGGGGTTGTAATCGATGTGTAGTGTGGGGTGAAAAGTACATCATAATAACGCCGTTTGCTCTTGCTTCATCAATAACTTGTAAGTTTTTAGTGTGAGTGCTATGACCATCCAATACGGGCGTATCTTTGGTTGCTTGACTAAAAGTTATGAATATCTTAAACCACTGCAAAAATAGTTCAGCTATCATCCATTCCTTCATTCCATTCACTGACGTGGGAACACCAGCATCGAACGCATGTACAACCCACTTGCGTTAAAGCATATTTCAACTTTAATTGTTTGATCTCGCTCAGTCACTTGTTTTCGGCTAGTTTGGCTATTATTTTACTTTTTGATTTTGGAACAGTTGACACTCCAGTTACGTCACAGTAAAATACACGATCAGGACTTAATTAATGCTCATCATAGATCACGCCTAATAATTTATAAAAATTTGCCAACAGCAGTTTTATTAAAACCGGCAGCTCTAGCTGCTGATGTACTTTCAAGTTTCCTAATCGTTAAGTCCGCGTGACGTTTTAAAAAACTGAGTAATCAATCCTTGCCAGCTTTTACCTTTGTCGTCATTAAAAGGATGGTTTTTTTTATTTTTTATTACTAGTTGGTACACTAAGGCCTTCAGATCGTCAGTTGTCAAACCAAGTAATCTGCTTTTCATATCTTTCAAATACAGAACTAATTCATCCTTCATTAACTGAAAATATGCGGCATTTTGGACCTAAAGTTACCTTAAAGTATTGGACAACGTTGTCATTTTTTCGAGCAATTTCCACTTTAATTTCTAGCGTACTCTGTGGGTCTGAATGTGTTTTTGCAGCTAGGTAGCAACCTATTTTGTCTTCCAATACAACAGTTATCGTGTTTTGCAGTTTTTACATTTTTTTTTATTATGATTGAATTGTTTTGAAGAAAATGCTGCTGCCGGTTTTAGTGTCACTCTGTTGCCTCTTACGGCACCCACGGTATGGTATAGGGTAGTAGATTCACTTAATTACCGTTACCACTACCGTTGCCGTTACCGCTTATAGAAGTCCACTGCCGAACATAGGCCTCCCCCATAGATTGTCTCCTAAGGTAGATGTTTGCCATAGTTACCACGCTTGACAAGCGGGTTGGCAACCGTAGTTTTTATTTTTTATTTTTAGTCGTTATTTGAAAGCTGTCGTCCATCTCCTGAATTGTTACGCTGCGACCACACGGCCATTTTTATTTTAAAATTTTATTAGATCCTATCTATGTATAAGTAATAATGTAAATAAAGTAATAAATTATTTTTTATTTACGTACACGTTTCGGCTATGTTATAGCTGCAGCACAAATGGGTTGCCTCTGCTGGGTAAGAATACCAGCGAATATAGCAGCGTAATGCTGCTGTGTTTCATGTGGATAGTCATCACGGGAACTGAAAACCCTTTTTACTGCTAACGAGGCAACTCATCTTATTCCTCAAGTTTTACAATGCATCTGCATTTTGATTCATATATTTACATCGGATCGGCTGTGTGCTCGATTTTCATCTTTAGTTGGTTTTAATAGATATACGCCAAACGAATGTTTTAAATTTTGTTGCTATTCCCTATTTAACCTATGGAATGAAGTTTATCTATAAGTATTATACTTGCTTTCTGCGTAATAGAAATAAAGTTGACAAAAAAATTACTTAAATACATTTTCCAGATTCAAGAAAATGTAATCTTACTCACATCTAGTCATCTAGTCAGTGGCAGTCAGAGTGGGTTTCAGTTTTTAAAAGATTATTCGATATTATCAGCCTCACGTAATCCTGTGTTTGATATTAATATTTTCAAGGATGCGACAACTGGTAATCTTTGATTAAAATTAAAAATAATTAAATACATTCTGTAACTGAGTGTTTTTCCAGTGCGACTGTAGCAAATCTTCAGGCAAAAGTGGAAAGTCTCACAACAACAAACGCTCTTATGAAGGAGGACCTCGCTATCGCTAAAAATACGATGATTACGCTAGTAGAGGAAAATAATCAGTTGAAACACGCCTTGGGTAAGCATTGTCATCCATTTTTTCAAGATGTATCATTCATTTTATTAAGATATATAATATTAAAATTGATACGACAAGTTTAGGTTTTATATCACATTATCTATCACAATACTTAAGAGATAAAAGTAAACTAATGATCACAAATATATAAAAGACACAATTATCATTAGAATTAATTAACAATGTCATTACTAAGCAATTTTATTGATTAAATGGAATTTTCGAAACAGAAAAATTGTTTGGTACCAATTACGAAAAGAAACATTTAACAACTACACATACCTAATACATATATGCCTAATAAAGTAACTGTAATTTTTTTATAGGATAGAGTGACAAACTAGCTCATAGTACACCTGATGGTAAGTGGTTGCTGTGACCCATAGACATCTACATTTATCCTCAATAAAGAATCAAAATGCAGATGCGTCGTCACCCATGAGGACTAAGATGGAATGCCTCTTTTCCAGTAAAATGGGTCTCCGGTTCTCTACACTCACCATACGAAACACAGCAGTGTCATGCTGCCATTTTACGCAGGTATTTTGTGAGAGCGTGGTTCTTCCCCGGTCGAGCCGACCCATTCTTGCTACAAATATACTTCTAATATAGCTGCAGCATGGCTCTACCACTAAAATGAAGTGCATTGATAGTCAATACTTGCAGTTGTTTTTTCATAGAATTCTATCGTTTATTTGATGAAGAATGCTACCGCTATGCGTTGGTAGGACCAAAAGTCCACTGCTGGATATAGGCCTTACAGATTACCTCATAATATCCCCCATATTTGCCATAGCTGCTACGCTTGACGGGCGGGTTGGGAACCGCATATTTTTTCGTTATCAGGAATACGCTGCTGCCCATTTCCAAGTATTGTTTACCTCTGTTTCCTGTTATGACACCCACGGAACGATATAGAGTAGTGGATATTCTTACACCGATAATACACGGTGGCGATGGAAGACTAAATGTAAAACAAATTGTGTGTAGTGTGTACAAATTTTTTTATGTTTATTAAATTTGTTATCTGACCTATTTCGTTCATCAAGTGCGTGTTCGCAAAAAATATGGATATGTATAATATCATGATTAATATAAATATAATGTATAATGTCAAATAAAATGTTATAATCACCTTAAGAAACGACTCGTTCTCGAAATTACTATATTATGTCAGGCGGGATACTCTAATTGTTATTAAATATTTTGTCATTCATTAATCCTCGTTTGTAACTTTGTAATCACTGTCAATAATATTAGATAATTTACAAAATTGTGTAATTAATATTGATTCTTATGCGTGGTTATGCGTCCACTTGTGGCACTCAATATGCTTGATTATCGCGGTTATTTTAGAAAGTTACCTGAGAAAACATCCCACTAGATAATACAAACATGTGCCGTGCGATTTTAGTTATTACAGAGTAGGCGTCTAACGTATTTGTGAAGCTACGAGCGTTTTACACCGCTTTAATAATTACAACATAACTAAATCAATTACCATTGAACATTCGTCAAGGTCGTCCGTATTTAAGAAGTACCTAATCGCAAATAAAAAAATGTGCATCAAGGCAAGTGCTACTATATCGTTAGAGATGTCTATGCTACGTAACTTATTAACAAGGCCTTTAACCGCCTTAAAATTGGTGTTTATAATTAAATGTTTTTTATTCATTGATTCTCGTTTTAGTATTTAATTTGTAATCATTGTCATTGAAATTAGATAATTTTTAAATTAAGAAAGTAATGTTGATTCTTCTGGGGTTATGTATGCTGTGGCGTCTACTCGTGGTAGTGTACATCATCGGGACACAGCAAAATATATTTTTTATTATATTTTTTAATAGGTAAAATATATATTATTATACGTGTTAATAAACTGTAAGAGTAGAAGACATAGCTTTCAATATTTATGTTTAAAATGTAACCAATATTATTTTAAAATATGTCGTTCGGATATCACTAGCTAAATCAAATGTTGGTACAACACTACAGTTGATACTTTTCTAACAATATATTTTTATGTTTGTGAAAAATCTGTTTCACCGTTGGGAATAACCTGATATGATAAAGCCTTGGTGTAATAGATACTGATTCATCATCATCACAGCCCATCAAAAGTCCACTGCTGAACATAGGCTGCCCCAAAGATTGCTCATAATAGATATATATGGCAAATAGTTGTCACGCTTGACAGGCGGACTGACAACCTCAGATTTTTATAATTGAACAGTCATGAATAATAGACTGCTGCCATTGAGTTATATGCACTACGTACTAGAGAAGCCTTTCTAAACGAAAAATGTGTACTACTCTATGTCTTCGCGCATGCGCGGTCAGTTTATATAAAGAAATATATTTTTTCATGATTTTTTCTTTTGTGATATTACGATATTATTACCTATTTATTCACTTGAACAACAAATAATTTTACTTACTTGACTACTGAATTGTTATTTTCGTCCAGGTTTAAACTTTAATTTGAAATCTTGTATTATTACCGTCGCTCCACACTGCATGAATATTGAAACTACAGACTAACTAGTAGATTGAAACCACACTAAATGACACATTGTACGGATTGCAGTACAGTTCAGTTGAACATTGTGTATGTTCGGAATGCGCAATCTAGTACGTAGTAGGTACATATATATCGATGACTGCTGCCCATTTTTTGTATCATTTCTCTTTGCCGCCTCTTAAGACACAATAATAATATGGGGTAGTAGATTATCTTTTCACCACCACATGACAGTGATTATATTGGTCGTATATTTATAAATTCTATGCTATCCATATACGTAATACGTTTCTTATAAGAATTAATTTCTTATAAGAATTAATCTCTTATAAGAATTGATTTCTTATAAGAATTAATTGGGTTAACAGTGGTTAACAGAAGCTTTTGCTGTCGCACGGATGGGCCGGCTCGAACCGGGGTTGTACCACGACCCCACAGAAAACCAGCGTGAAGTAGAGGTTTACCTCTGCGTTTCGCTTGGTGAGTACAGGTGGCCGGAGGCCCTTTTTACTGGAAATGAGGCATTCCATCTTAGTCCTCACGGGTGACAACGCATCTACATTTTTTTATTTATTTAAGAATATTTTGACTATGTGTGGATTTGACTGTACCTATATCTTAAAGCTAGACTAATATTATTTCGTGAAGACGGCTACATAGCTTGTTTTGTTGTCAAATACAAGTACTTACTATGACTAAGATTAAAATCAAATACAAATAAGTATGTGATACATACTAAATATACCTTTTTATGTCAATCCTACATAAAACAAATTTATAAAAAAGTAATTTCTAACAAATCATTTACTCTGTTTCGTACTATTCAATTATATTTTTTTTTTGATTTGTAATAGAGGATAGATGTAGATGTCTATGGGCCACAGCAACCACTTACCATCGGGTGGACTGTGTGTCCGTTTGTCACCCTTATCCTATAAAAAAAAATCTACACGTATTATAAGCAATAACTTACTAGTGGTTGGTTGTCTGCTGTGTATATTGTTATCACCCTCCTAAATTACGCATTAATAACTAGGTACATTCGATAAAATTTGGAAGGGATATAATTTAAAAGTATTCTATTCGACTACTCGATTTCGTTCTCTATTTATTCCTCTTAACGGTGATTTTTTTTTTTGAAAACCAAATCGTTTTGTAATTAGCTTTCCTTTTATTTACCTAGCAGTTTACGTTTTATTTTCGTATTAATTCTTTTATTACACAGTGTACCGTCCAATAGTCACACCGGTATGATAAAAATCTATAGATAGTTTATTGTTTTCCTCGTGTGAAAACAGATAACCTAAATATTTGAATTATTGTATTATGTATAAGCTACGACTCGTATCTTGTTTAATCTAATTCATTAGGTCGTAGAACTCCTTTTCAATCAGAAGTTTATCTGGGTAAATACCGCTTACCTATTTGTACCGCCAAGCAGCAATGTTATAGAGCCAGAATTACAGGTGTGGCGCTCTTAGCCCTTCTACTTCTTAACCCTCACAGGAGAAAACACATCTCTAACCTTCATTGTTTAAAGTACGTTGCTGGTGTCCATGACCTGCAGTAACCACTTACCATCAAGTGGACTGTAACTTCGGTTGTCACTTCAGTTTTATAGAATAAACTAACGATCCGCCTCGGCTTCCCACGCTTGATTTCTGGATCTCGACGACAACGCCACCTACCGGGTCCAATTGTGAATCTAAACCATTTTCTAATCAGCTTAATCGCACACACAAAATTTCATCAAAATCGGTCCAGCCGTGTAGGAGGAGTTGAGGAACATACACACGGGCAGAAGAATGATATAATATAATATATGCATGTACTATAATAAACCTTCCTCTTGAATCAATCTGTCTATTGATGAAAACCGCATCAAAACCCTTGCGTAGTTTAAAAGATCTAAGCGCACAGACGGCGGGAAGTGGCTATGTTTTATACTATGTAGAGATATTAAAAGAAATTATCCTTAAATTAGTCTACATAATTTTCAGTACGTTTTAAATTAGGTAATCAGTTTGGTTTTAAAATATTTTAAGTCTATTGTTATCTTTAATTTAAATTAAACGCTACCTTAATTCGATTTCAAGATAGATATTTATTAACGCTTATAATCGTCGTGTAAATTTAGCCTTATAAAAAATGATGACTTGATTTTCACGGAGAAAATCTTACGGTAATAATAGAGACTGCATTAGATAAGACACCTTGCAATAAGGTGACTCATACACTTTTGTATCGCTTAGCTTAGTAGGCATTAGTATGCCGTTGCGGTTGCTCGCGTCATTACTACATTGTCAGATAATATTCGACATTGTTCGCGAACCGTTATGCTGTACAACTTCGTTCAAATGGGTAATTCGACAGTAAAGAGTCAAAATAAAAAACAATTTTGGACGAGACCTTGTGAGTTTATTGCTCATCTATAAATATTTAAATTTCGTATGTGCCAGTGTTTATTTACGTACGGAGTCAGCACGTGTTTATGTTTTTTTTTTGCGCAGGTCAAGATATAACAAAAGACAGTAGGATGAAAATAACAGAACTTCACTCGGAGGAGGAGGTAAGTTTATTATACAAAATAAATATTAATAAATAATTTGTTCATTGTGGGTGACAAATCAGTCCACCTGATAGTATGTGGATGCTGTTGCCCATAGACATCTACATCTATCTTCTAGTAGTACCCCTGAAGACTAAGATAAAATGCCTCGTTGCCAGTAACAAAAGGTCTCCAGTTCTCTACACTTACCATTCGAAAAACAATTAAGCTGTTATTTGACACTAGCGGTCTTTGCGAGCGTGTTCCTTCTCCGGTACGAGCCGACCCGTTAGTGCGTTAAACGTTTGTTCCTGTATGTTCCTGCATTTTGATCACATTTTATTGTTTTTAATTATCTAGATAAAACATGTCTTCTTTATTCCATTTCGTATCATTAGCCCATAATAATCTACTGCTGGTTATAGATGTCTGCCATCGCATGACGATCGCAGTTTCAGATATCTTGGTCTATAGGCATACCCAGTCTTTTTAGATGGTTTTCCGTCGACTGTCTGATGTAATAATTTTTCTAAAATTTGATATGGATTTGTGGATATATTTTTTACCATATTCTCGATATGAATTGATAGATCACCTTACGCTACGAAACTAAGCAAGGTATTTTTTCATACTAATGACTCCTTCACTACTCGTTGGTAGAAAAATCTATTCTCTAAGAGCCCGTGAGAGAGAACATGAGTCTTTTCAAGAGTTGTTAGAATTCGTTATACTTGTCTTGGCAGGGGTTTTATAATGATTTCTTATATTTATTATATTAATGAAACTGGATTTTACCGATTTCATCGCGTTTAATTAGTTTATTTTTATATTCCCGACGTATTCCGTGCAGCACTCATGATCAATAGAACTGAGATACTTAAGGTCCCAATATCATAGTTAACCCCGGCTACATTCAACTTAAAAATTATTAAGTTTTAGTTCAGTTTACGCAGAAAGAACTTATAGTGTCTTTAAAGTCTTGCAGTGGTATGCTCAGTTTGGAATTTAATTTCACTAATTATAGAATCGAAAGCAGATGGCATCACTCGGCAATCTTTTGTATTAAAATTAGAATGTTATTAGATTTCAATAGCCTCCCGAATCATCTTTGGTAGGAATTGGTGTTCTTTTGTGAGGATTTGTGTTCTTTTAATGTTGTCTGTCAATAGTGTTCGCAATACCAGATGTTTTTCCTAGTGATTTTAGGTCTGACATACAATAAAATGGTTACAACACCATCGGAAGCAACAACATCTTTAATTCATATACATTCATAGAACGTTTGACTTTATTGACTCTTACGACTCCCACGAAACAAGATGGGAGTCATGGCTTCCCATATGTCTCACGCCTATTAGTTAACATCACTTATTTCTAAATATAAGTTAACATGGCACACCTGTGCTCCTGCATTTTTAGTATATAATCTATATTCATAGAAATTAGCAATTCAGTTACAGCCGATAACACGTGTCTATTATCATCAACGCCTTGAAAGTTCGTCGCAGCGATTCCAATGTAAACATTTTCTATGTTGTATTAAAAGCGCTTTGTATGTTTTATTAATATTATGTGCATACGAGATGAAATCTTCTTTAATTGGAAAAAATACTTTTAATATCTGTTTGTGTTTAAAAAGTAGTCTGGTAGCGATTAACTATACATACAGCGCATTTACATACACTACAAATTGAAATTATAAATATTTACTAAGAGAATCACGTGTCTGTTATATACCTAATTCTCTACTCGAAACTGTAATTTGTCTACATATTGTGTACATGCAATAGTTAAAATAGATAAAATAATAATGCAATATAATATGTGTCACGGTAGTTCTTACTTTTTAACATAAATAACTCGTACTCGTAGATTTTATTTCAAAACTAACATAAAGAGATGTGTTAAATATTATAATCGATGTGAAATGAATGATAATTGCTTTAGTAGCCATTATCGTTACTTTGAGAAGGTTCGTTTAAAGCGTCAAGAGGAGCAGATTAGTTTAGTTTTTCATAACTTTCCATTTGAAAGTTTTTGTAATAATAAAATCGTACTTATAATTAATAGAATCAGGCGTTACTTTGCGGAAATCCATTATATAAAAGCTTTTAGAAAAATTTACTTCGCAAATATCCGCGTTATAAAATAAAATGATGTGTCTTACCTAGTATGAAGAGCGCCTTCCGCCCTCCCTCAGTTGCGTGCACTATCCCCGTCACCACTAATCCCAGCACCGCTACTCCCAACACCACTACACTAGGCAAGACACACCACTGACGATAATACGACACGTGTTTCGCCTCTACACGAGGCATTCTCAGGTGATATAGACTACGGTGGCTAACCGCTAAGTGAGCGGCGAGCCAACACAAGTGCCGCTCACTTGTGTTGGCTCGTACTTTTTCGGAAGTCCAAACTTTATTATATCTCCATGATTTGGGATTTGGTATACGGACTCTGCGGCCTACTTAAAATTGCGCTCTAAGTTACAGTCAATTCTCCTTAATTCTTTTAGTTGATTGCGAGCGGGCGAGAAGACTAGTTCTTTGTTTTGTAAACCGCGCACATTGTTTTCGACAATATAACACTTATTTGGTTTAATGTGACTAAGAAAACGCTATCATTATTTATATGCGCACGTATTTGCCTAAACTTAAAAATAGTAACAGTTGTTAATGAAAATACAACTGCGTGAAATATTTACAGTGCCAGCTACCCGTCCGCACGGACAGTTTTGTTCTTAGTTGCCAGTCTAGTATTATACATAGAAGTCTTTGTCCTTGAGCCATTTTGTTTTTAGAAAGAGTTATGTGTGTCTTCGAAATTAAGTATTTCCTTTTCTTGTTTCATGACTGCCTCGTTGGTCTAGCAGTTGTAGTGCGACTGCTGTTCATGAGGTCCCGGCTCGGTCCAAAAAAATCAGTTATTGAGTTTTTCCATCAAGAAATTCACAGTAGCTGCCCGGAGTCAGGAAGTTGGCCGTGTCTCGCCCCTGTACGGAAGCAAGTAAAGGCGTTGGCCCTGCGCCTGATCTCTCTCCGGTCCTGTCGGTTTACCGTCCCATCGGACTAAGAAAGTGAGGGAATAGATAGTGCACCTGTACTTGCGCATACACTTGGGCAGTATAATCCTGTCCTGCGCCGATGGCTAGTCTCTGTTGATAATAGCCGCCGTGACAGGACATTATTATTTCCATATCTTCCATATTTCGAAAACAAATAATTATATTGACTCCACTTATGCTTAACAAAAGCCTATTCACTCTTACCTTGAAGACACCCACATTGTTGTTTAGTGGAAAAACAGATGCCGGCAAATTATTCCACTCCTTTGCTGTACGCATTAAGAACAACAAAACATATCGTTTGGTTCGAATGCGTGGTGTGTCCGAAGATTTAACAGAGAGGGAAAAATTAAGTAACGCAACTCCTGCGCACAATCTTCGAAACGTATCCTGAAAAACATCGAAAGGCTGGCTACTTTGGCTCAGAACTGATAAGATTGGTTTTACTCATATTAAGGTCACCAATGACTCTCTTGCCACGTCTGTCCATTCATCAGTCCATTCTTTCATTCAGTCCAAAACCTCTAGGTGACATTTTACAGCACCAACTTACATACGACAGCAACACTCGTATCGGAGCACCTTTGCAAGGACACTTTATTTCTTTGCAGCTGATTTATCCCTGGACTCAAATGTTTAGATTTCAGATTCAGGTCGAGTTCAGATTCATTTCGTTTCAATAATACATTTCTGAAAGAAGGAGCCAAGTTGAACAAACTCTTTTTAGCGGTGAAGAGACACGTTTGTTTTTGAAGGCGTTGAATCTCAGTAGATTGGCATCGGAGACTACCTGCAGTAAGAGATTTAGACGCTCAAACGCTTCTCGTGCGAACTAAATTTGACCCCGACTGGCTCGAGCATTTAGCTGATATCTCTTCACAACTGTGCTGTCATCTGCGTACTCATAGATACCAAGCATATGCAGTTCACTGAAATGTAGCAGAAAGAGAGTTGCGAGGAAAACGAATTCTTGAGGAATTTCGGCATTTGTTATCATAGCCTCAGAAGAGCAGTCTTCACGTCTCGGAGGGATCTTTCACTCAAGTATTTCGCCCAGCTTATCAGACGTTAGAATGCGTTATATATATAAGTATAGTGTATAAATATCACTAAAATATTAAATTTATTAATAACCTATACATACATTCCTTTATGTGGTAGAGTCATGCTGTAGCTATATTAATAGTATAGTTGTAGCACGTATGGGTCTGCTCGACCGGGGAAGGACCACTCTCTCACAGAATACCAGCGATAAATAGCAGCTTTACACTGCTGTGTTTCGTATGGCGAGTGTAGAGAGCCGGAGACCCATTTACTGGAAAAGAGGCATTCTATCTTAGTCTTCATGGCTGACAACGCATCTGTCTATGGGCCACAGCAACCACTTACTGTGTGCTCATTTGTCAACCTTATTCTATAAAAAAAAACATTCACAATTACATAACATACGTAATTACACTACTACACACTCTCACACCGGTCACTCAGAGGGGTAGGCAGAGACTACGGACTTCCATTTGCAGTATCCTGACACACCTCTCTCGCCTCCTTTACCTACCCATGCATGCTTCCTTCCTCAGGCCTTCATCCATCCCTTCACCACTCTGCCGTTCACTTCTACATCATTGATTTGCTTTGTCACTTTCCTCGTTCAATCTTTCTACATGACCAAACCACGGAAGCATTCCTTTATTAATCCTGGCCACAAGATCATCTTGCAAACCACACTTTTCTCTTATCACACAATTTCTCACCCTGTCATTCACATTCAACCCTAACATACTCTTTAATGACCGCATTTCTACAGCATTTATCTATATTATCTACCCTCGTGCTTCTTCTGCCAGACCCAACTTTCACTACCATTCATTAAGGAAGGGACTAACACAGCATTGTGAATTGCCATACATGCCTTTTTTGAGACATTCTGACTTCCCACAACAGATTGTAGAGCACCATTTACTCTATTTCCTGCATTCATTCATCGTTCTATATCCTTATCATATCTACCATCCCTGCTAAAACCACATCTCAATACACAAACTCATCCACTTGCTCAACCAACTCCACTTCTATTGTTATTTCACATATCGTTTTACTTTCTTCTCTTTCAAAAACCATCACTTTCGTCTTACTTGCATTCATTTTCACTTTCACATTACATTTTCACTTACATTCAGTGCAATATTTTCTTTTAATGATATTTTGACAAACTTATTTTAATCTTCATCATCATCACTATAGAAGGTCAGTTCAGTCTACTGCTGAAAATGGACTTTTCTAAGTAGCGAAAAATATCATTATCACCTCTTATACAATCTTCAATATTTGCAATAGGATTAGCGATTTCAGTACTTGATGTCGCACATAAAAGCATATTATCAAACACGTTTACAGCGTCAACTAAAATTAACGACGCTTTAAAATAAATTGTAATTGTTTTCCCACAAATTTACCTTTGTAACGATTAGAAACAACACTTGAGTTGAGTCAATTAAAGGTAAGGCTCAACGTCCCCTTATCCGTATTAAACAAAATTAATTATTCTTGATTACATTTATACCGCCTTTACATACTGTGGAGTCATCGTTTCTTTACTATCGATGATATCATCAGCGTATTTATTTATTATTGTTTACTTTACAGTATTTTTCTGGTATTATCTTACTTGGTTTCTTAGATAGATTGCAAAGGATAATCATCATCATCATCATCATCATTACAGCCTTTCATAAGTCCACTGCTGAACATAGACCTCCCCCAAGGAATGCCACAAAGCACGGTCCTGAGCCACCTGCATCCATCGACTTCCTGCATGCCTTACCAGGTCGTCACTCCATCTCGTGGGGGGTCGCCCTACACTTCGCCTACCGGTACGAGGCTGCCACTCGAGAACCTTTTTTCCCCATCGGTTGTCGGTTCTTCGCGCTATATGGCCGGCCCACTGCCACTTCAGCTTACTAATCCGTTGGGCTATGTCGGTTACTCTAGTTCTACTGCGGATATCCTCATTTCTAAGTTTATCACGCAGAGAAACTCCGAGCATAGCCCTCTCCATAGCTCGCTGAGCGACCTTGAGCTTCCTCATACGGCCAGCTGTGAAGGACCACGTCTCAGTTCCGTAAGTCATCACTGGCAACACGCACTGGTTGTACAATTTCGTTTTAAGGTTTTGAGGTATGTCTGACGAGAAAATGTGTCGTAGCTTCCCGAACGCTGCCCAGCCGAGTTGAATCCGTCGATTGACCTCTCGGTCGAAGTTGGACTTACCTAGTCGGACTATTTGTCCCAGGTAAACATACTCGTCAACAACTTCGAGCTTAGTGCTCCCAACAACTACCGGCATAGGTGTGACATGGACATTAAACATAATGACATGCAAAGGATAAAGCAATGAATTAATGTGACAAGTTGAAACATTGACATTGAGTGAAAAAATGACGCGTATTGGTTGAAATTTTTACCAAGGTTTTTACGATAACCATCAAACGATGATGCCCTCGTAATTGTATTAGAATACATACCACACAATGCTATGCACGTGTCATTATTTTGGAGACCACGTTACGCTTTGCGATTGGACGACGATATACGAGTTTCATGCAGACATTAAGTTGTCTTCTGGTAAATCGTAAAAGTCGACTAACGGCGTAATGACAGAATTATCTCGATATAGCATACCAAAATATTCAGACCAGTATCGGTATGGATAATACGAGGGCTGCACTAAAAGTATCGGGAATAGAATATTTCCACTGTTCCTGTCATATTAAAATCTTTTTAATTGAAAACTCCTTGGTTTTAAAAATCGAATACCATTTATTTATTTAAAAAAAGATTCTCGGTCTTGCCACAAGGTTTTATTAAACTTGTTTAGTCGTTGAGAAAATGGAATTGACTCGAGAAAATTCAAGAGCGATGATTTATTATGACATTCGAAGTGGTTTAACACAAAAACAGTGTGTTGACCGGATGATTTCTGCATTTGGTGATGAAGCCCCATCCAAAACCACAATTTATCGCTGGTTTGCTGAATTTCAACGTGCACGTGTCAAGCTCAGTGATGATCCCCGTCAAGGTCGTCCAAAAACTGCAGTCATCCAAGAAAACGTTGATGCTGTGTGTAAGCTGATTGAGGAAGATCGACATGTGACATACCGCGAAATTCAGGCAACTTTAGACATTGGCATGAGTCAAATACAAATAATCTTGCATGAACAATTAGGTGTAAAAAAGTTGTTTTCCCGATGGATACCGCATTCGCTCTGTGAAGAGCAAAAAGCGGCTCGCGTTACTTGGTGCGTCAGAACTCTCGAAAGATTCCACGCAGGATCCTCAAATGCTGTATACAACATCGTATCAGGTGACGAATCCTGGATATACGCGTACGAACCCGAAACAAAAAACCAGTCACGAGTTTTGGTGTTCGAAAATGAGTTAAAGCCAACAAAAATTGTTCGTTCACGGAGTGTTGCCAAAAAAATGGTGGCCACATTTGTATCCAAAACCGGCCATGTTACGACTATTCCTCTTGAGGGACAAAGAACGGTTAATGCAGAATGGTATGCTAGCATTTGTTTGCCACAGGTCATTTCTGAACTGAGTTCTCACACCGCACACAAAACAAAAGAGTTTTTAGTGCAAGAAAACATAGAATCATTAGACCATCCGCCGTACAGCCCCGATCTAAGCCCTAATGATTTCTATACTTTCCCTAAAATAAAGAATAAATTTCGTGAACAGAGATTTTCATCACCTGAAGAAGCTGTGGACGCCTACAAAACGGCCATTTTGGAGACTTCCGAATGTAATGGTTGCTTCAATGATTGGTTCCATCGTATAGAAAAATGTGTCAAATTTCGCGGAGAATACTTCGAAAAGCAATAAACACATTTTTAAATAGTAATGTTGTGTCACTTCCTTGATTCCCGAAATTTTCAGTGCCGCCCTCGTAACATAAAGTGACATTCGATTATAACGGTGTTTACAAAGCCTTACGTTTATTATTAGATTGTTTCTCAAATCGAAGTTTCTTATGCAATTTATCGGATTGTTATAAAACATTATTTAGTAGGTAATAATGATTATAAGCCGTCGGGAATAAGTGCTCGCATAAAAATTTTACAGTACGCAAGCAGAGTTCGATCCCGGCCGACGACAATAAAATTACACCAGTAAAATATACAAAAATAAAAACAGTTGTATTAAAAGTTGTGTTGCACTGCATTCTGTTAATACCGAGTACAAGCACAAGTTAGAAATACCAGTTCCTCAACTCCCAAGGATCAGTAATTTCTCCATGGAGCAATGTCTATGCTTTTACAATAAAGTCTCAAAAGATATGCATATTTATTAAAAAGTTTAAAAATTTTAAGCAAAAGTTTAAATAAGGGCTATTATTATTATACTCTATATAACCCCTGGAAATGATGTGATCGCTATAATGATCTTTGTACACGTTTTCATATTGAATTGTACCGGCGGTGTAACATACATCGTGCATATTGTATTTACAAACTGAGATTTTGTTCCGAACCAGTAGTAAAATCATAAATGATTCTCAATACGTATTCTCATAAACTATATTGAATAAAATTATTCTATTCTATTATATTGTTAATTGCAATTTTAAGTATTCATTTGTTCGGTGGTGAAAGATAACATTGCGGGGAAACCTGTGATGTATTTCGAGGATATGTGCTATATATAGCTCTTCCATTAACTCTATACAAGACGTATATATTGATTGTTACTATGTATAGATAAAGAGTTATTTAGAATTATAAAATATTTTCAGGAGAGACGTAGCGTCAAGAGCACATCGTCAGATAAATCAAAAAATGAAAAAGACTCGGAAATGGGAAAATTATTAGATGAAGAAAGGAAAAAGAACATGGAACTCCAAAAGGAACTGGACCTACAGGTACATGCATAATTTTACCTACACTTCTTGAATCGCAAAAATTATATACTTTTTGATATGTTAGAAAAATTTCTCCCGTGAAAAGAGCAGGGGTAGCTCAGGAAGAGCCGTGGTTGCTCCGGGGCAAAAGCGCTCGCTGTAAATTTCACAGTACGCGAGTAACCCGGATTCCGATCTCCGCCGGCACCAATGAAATTGTTAATTGCAATTTTAAATGCTAACTTACCACGTAATGGGCGGTGAAGGAAAAGATCAAAGAGTAATAAGAAAAAAATATTTGGACGACATGTGAAGTTCATCAACACGCATTTGGGCAGCGCGGTGGATATTTCCTTGGCCTAAAACTCTCAGAAATTATAGGAAGCCTGTACCCAGCTGTGAGACGTTATCAGCTGTAACTTTAGTTTTAATTTAAAAAGTAAATTAAAGTAGATTAAAAATCGTCATAGCACTGAAGCAACTAATAAAAAGTAATAACTGATATAAACACTCCATCGCAACTTTACAATTTTCCAGATATCATTGAAAGCGGAAATGGAAGTAGCAATGAAGTTGCTCGAAAAAGATATACACGACAAGCAAGACACAATAATATCACTAAGGAGGCAATTAGACGACATTAAATTAATCAATTTGGAAATGTATAAGAAATTGCAGGTAAACATTAAACACGTTTTTTTACTATAACGGTGTTGCCACACTATTAGACGATTTGTCGTCACGGTCCGTTTGTCACGACAGGAAGTTGCCGTTGACCTGAATGGGACAAGGCGACGTCCAAACAAAGACACAAGAGTGTACAAACTAACAAATCGTTGCATAAAAATTGTTAAGTACATGTGTGGTGGCCTTCCGCTTTTAATTCTGCACTTTTTGCATGTTATTTTATTTAAACAGCTTGTTTCTGTTAATATACTGACATAATTTATTATCGCTTTTCAACCGACTTCGACTGTATTTTTATGTGTGTTACCGCAGAACTTTTTTCTAGGTGAACCGATTTAGATTATTCTTTTTTTATTTGAAAGCTGGTTATTTTCATGTGGTCCTATATAAGTTTGATGAAGATCTGACCGGTAGTCTTTGAGTTATCCTTGATAATGCGTATTTAATTGATTTCGACTACATTGATGATGTTCTCATTTTATTTATATTGAAGTCGGTTATACAATTTTTTTTTAATTTTACTACTTGCTTAAGTTCTGCTTTATTTATAATTTATTATGTCTTCATTTTAGAACTTATTCTAGAGCACGCATGCTCTCCTGTGAACAATTGAATGCAATTTCTTAGCCGTTTTATTATATTACGGTGTTTCGACGTCGGTGTATACATTTGATTTTCCCATTGTTTTGTGAGGTAACACAATAAGCATCGAGATTCAAAGGTCGTTCATCTTGCGTGGGCACTATACATTACACCAATCTGTTCATCTCGCTGATTAATAAATTTACCTTTGAGCGCATTAACGTCATAGCATTTTCTTCTTATTTATTTGTATATTATTTTTATTTGATATGCTTTGATTGGAGCTTCTCTTTTGGTTTTAAAAACCGTAGCATGAAATGATTTTATTTTATTATGGTCGATTGTTAACAATTTTCAAAAAGAATTTTGATTACAGATTACTTTAACTTTAATTCAGTTTTTAGAATATAAATTTAAATTAATACTTTACAATTTCCTTAAACATTTGATGCATTTAAATAAGTATTTAATGTTAATCAAAAATTCTATATATTTAAGGACATCTTGCAATCAAGGTCAACGACGACATTTAATAGTCATGTTACGATTTTTACTACTTAATAGCAATAACATACAGTTTCCTTCATACATTTTTTCCCCGTAGTATTGTAACTAACTAAATTTACTAAGTGTAAAAACATATTATATTGTAATATTTATATTATATTCCATACTAATTCAATGCTGTATTCATCAATGCCGCGCTTATCGTACGGAAGGAATGCGAAATGGAACTCACGCAGAAAGGTGAAATGGTGTCCAGGCTTCAGGGGAAAGCTGAACAAATTGGCAAAATACTTCACAACCTAGAGAAATATAACCACTTTCTAGGATCTGATCATGAACTTGTCAAAGCGCTAAGATCTCCCTCTAACGAAACTAACTCGGGTGAAAGATCAGACACGATTAGAATAAAGAGAGATGAAGGCCCACCTAGCAAAAAGTTAAACTTACAGGAAATACCACCATTCCGCAAAAACAATAGTGTCGACAAAAAAGAAACTCGAATAGAATAAATATAATGCAATGTAGACGCTAAGTTTTAGAAATAGTGCTTAATGTTTCTGTATATATAAAATCGTTTAAATCTTTCCAGTAAAACCAGTAAGGTGGTGTTTCCTATTAGAAAATTATTATAAAAAATGTTTTCATTACCTATATTACATTACATCACAATATTTCAAGATAATCATACAATATAATGTAATATATATATATATATATATATAAAAACGTTCGTTTGTTCAAAATCTTAAATTACCGAAAGTTGTTCGGCAATTGCTTTGAAATTTTAACACAACGTTTCATTCAAATGAGCGCGTTTTTTTATATACTTTAAGCAAATCAGTGCCATCTGTTGGACGTAAAAGAAACATTTCTGTTATTTTCTTTCTTTTCTATTTAACCACACTGAGGCAACGGCTACGTGTGGCCCGGTACAGCTAATTTTCAATATAATTATTTTTCCTGTAATCCATAAGGCATATAAACTAACGTATTTTAGGTAACCTATTAATGGAATTTTCGCAGGGTTTCATTTTAGACTCGCGTATTATATCTATGCTTGCACTAATAAATCTCATATAACGCAGTGAAATATTCATATAGCTAAACTTCGTTGGCTTTGTTTTAGGAATGTGAAAGTTCCTTGAAACATAAAACAGAGCTAATAGCCAAATTGGAAGCAAAGACTGAGTCAATGGGCAGCACCATACATCAACTCGATGAGAAGTAGGTTTATATTTTATTTTATATGAAATGCCTCCGGCTACGTTGTAACCTGCAGCGCATGAAAGTATTGAGAGTGCCTAAACCTTGTGTAAACTAGACGTGAGCGATTATGAACCGTAAAACTTATTATTTTAAAATAACATGACTTGGCAAATTAATATGATAAATTAATTAAATTAATTTTCATTGCCTAATACTGCAACCAATGTTGCACTTGCGGACGATTTTGAATCATTCAGTTTTTGTATTAGTTTTGAACCTTTTATAGTTTTTTCTTGATGGTGGAGGACTCCTTTCCTGTGTTGGAGTCTGTTTGTATAAGTACCATGCTCTTGCCTCTTCCTGTCGCCAAATAATAGTGCTTCCACTGCTGTGGTCTGAAAGGTATAGAGGGTTAGTATAAATAGACTCAGAGGTGGCAGGTGTCTTATTAAAAAAAACTTAGTGTGTCAATTAACAGTAACAGTGATCATTGCATTACAATTCTTAGTCGCTCATTTCTAGTGTTATTGTCTATTAAAATATGTTAACGCTTAACATATCAATTATACTCGAAAATCACGTAGGTGACAGCGTTGCACTGCTTGCTGTACTCACTGGAAGGTGAATATTTCTAATGATATTGGCAAACCCTCACAATAAACCGCGAGCGTATTATCTGTTTGATCAAATAATAATAATAAATTATATTTTGATATACTTAGTGATACAAACGTCGTTATTAAAACGTTGTTAATATGGTAATGCTATTTTGGCTTTAGCTTTCATTGCTGTTAAGTGATTTTATTAATATTTAGTAAACGATGTTCTATATTTTTGTTATTTTATTATTATTTAAATTTAAATAATGGTAAATTTAAAGGTTTAATACAATAATTATAATGTTATTTTAAATATATTCACCAATTCAGTACCTTTTTAATAGTGCAAAATAGATGTTTTTTCAGAAATTGACGTTAAACTATTGTTTTGATACAATTTATGTAATAAGGTTATACTTAAGGATATATTTTGATGTTTTAGAAAATATTTGCATATTTTAAGATGATGATAATCTTTAAAGTATTTATATTGTGATTCCAATTTAGGTTATAAAAAGTATTATTTAATTACATTTCTAATATCAATTCGATCGCATTTAGTCTACATGGAATATAAATGATTTGGAAATCAATCATATTCATCCAAAGAATCATGTCGCTTACTACCTTTTAGAAACAATTGTACGATCTAAGAACTTAAGATCTCTATCAGTTTTGTGGAATTTGTAAAACTGAGGCCCTAGTGATGTAACAGCCTTATTTGTATAATAAAGTATATTCAGTCTAAAATTGTATTTTATTCAATATAAAACCGAAGAATGCTTGTTTAAATTTTATGTTTGTTGTGTAGGTTTGCCATTATCAATTGTTGTGTTTGCATGCTATGTACATTTAACAAATTAGTACGTGAGGGTAATATTGTCACTTTCTTATAACGCAAAAACTACAGCCTTATTTGCATAGATGGCTCTGTGATACGATAGCTCTTCATCAGTCAGTCAAATAATAAAGAGTCAAAACGACGCTGCTTTATCGACGCCATTTTGACTGTTGAAATTATTGTAAATATTTTAGTCGATTTTAGTATTGTGTAGTATAGTTATTTTTTTTTAAGTTGATTTTTCAAAGTGTTCTTAATGATTGCCAAAGCTTGTTGGCTATTTTTTTCTTAATATATAAGTTATAGTATACGACTTTGTGTTTTTGTCTCTGTCCTCCTTCTAGTTTTGGTTTTATTGGGCGGCAAAGCTTAAGGTGACCATATTACCCTCGCCTTATTTAGTTTTATTTTATAGAAAAAAATACGTTATACATATTATTGTAGATACTCTTATCATTTGAAAAAGTTTGAATTCTAGTTATCATTTATTATGTTGCTATAACTGTATTACAATCACTATGCTCATACCCCTGTCTGCTGTCGGTTATTGTTAAGTCAATGGATTCTATATTGAGGCTATTCACAACTCGTTAAACACAGATCTTGACCTAAACAAGAATCGTTAGTCAACTATTCAATTTTTATTTAAACAAAATAGAAATTTATGAAATATCACTTGCTAAAATATAAATATTTGTTTTGGATCGACATAAATAGCCTTTTTAGTCTTTTAGTTTGAATCGTATAACTAGTTAAGCTGTATACAAAATAAAAGTAATAATAGTAATAATAATGTCCTCCAGACCGTCTCAACGGAGACTAACATTATAGTGCCCAAGTGTATGCGCACGCACAGGTGCACTCTTTTGCCTCACTCTCATAGTCCAGTGGGACCTTAACCCGACACGACCGGAGAGAGATCAGGTGCAAGGCCAACGGTTTTCCGTGCTTTCCGAGGCACGGTGGTGAGACACCGCCACCTTCCTGACTCTGGACTGAGAATTTCTTAAGAGAAAAACCCACTAACTGAGGTTGGACCCGACCCGGGATTCGAACGCGGGACCTATGATCAGCAATCGCGTTAATGACCACCACCAACGAGGCAATCAGGTTTTTTTTTACAAAATAAATAACAAATTGTCATACTGTACATACAGGGTCGTTTTCAAAGAGTGGCCAACTTTTAAACTTAAGTTCAAACATATAAATAACTAGCGATCTGCTCCGGCTTCGCGCGGGTGTTTCGACCGGTTATTTAAAATAACCCTGTATAACGCTGAACAGCATAATTACTTCAATGACGACATGAGCGAGCATGAACAAGTCAAGTTCAAGGGTAAAAACTAAAAATACCAACAGATGATATTTATCGTACAATAAATTATCCCTTAACTAGGTCACGGCGTGATAGTTAAGGGAAAGTTAAGGTCCAGATTCTGACGCTCACTTATTTTTTTACGTCGTAACATTGTAAAGTATTCCGAAAAGCAAGGCAAACCACAGAAAAAGTAGTTATCACTAAATTCAACTAAGATTTTACGGTTTTTATAGCTTGCGATGAGCTGTGTAACTTTTTTTATTCCGATAATTCTGCTTTCTCGTACTAGATGACACAATGAGACTAAATAAATTAATAAAAAGCAGTAATTATATAGACTTATAAACAAAGGTTATTTAGTAATACATATCAAGAATGCATATGCATAGCATAATGCTAAGCTAAGTAACAAAAAATTGTTTTTTTTTGTCTCATACATTAAATTATACGGCGCCACCTAGTAACAATTCATACAGGTGAACGTACAAAACAAAGTAGTAAAATAAAGCTGTACTATACACAACATTAAAATAAACTCTTGCATAAAAACGGGTACCTAAGCAAATAACCAATTTTAATGTTACTATTAGAATATTGGATAATTTTATGAAGTTTTATCCTCGAGACTTTTGTTAATTAATTAAGTCATAGTTTTCCTGTGTTATCATAAAATTTTGATTAAGTTAATGAGAAATAATGTTAAATACAAAGCGCTAATTGTGGACCTGCTCGCTAAGAAAAAAAAATAAACACATTTTTTTTGTTTGTTTTATGTTTAATAAAGTAAAAGCAGACAAAAATTTAGTATGGTGTGTGACCGCCTCTTGCTGAAATCACAGCTTGCATTCGTCTGGGCATGCTAGCGCGTATATCTCTTATGGTTTCTTGCGAGACACGTTCCCACTTCGCGGTAATCACATTCTTTATCTCTGATGGTCTCCACTGATCTCACTCGTCGCTTCAGAACGTCCCAGACATGGTCTATGGGATTTTGGTTAAGACTTTCCGCTGGCCAATCCAAACTACGAACTCCGACCTCTATCATATACGCTTCCACATCGCCGGACCGGTGCGTGCGAGCGTTATCGTCCATAAAAGTTGAGTTTTCGCCAAAAGCGGCCAATGCAGGTTGTACATGAGGAATTAGAATTTCCGTTATGTATCGGTGTCCAGTCGGTGTGCCGCTAACTCCGTACCATGCAACGAATTAAATTTCTGCACAAAACATAACAAAGCCCCCACCATTCGGTGTGATTTTTTTCAAAACATGGCTACAAAGCGTTCTTCTCGTCTTCGTAGCACTCGCCGACGTCGGTCTTCACCGTACAGAGATAGCTAGGTTCATCGGAGAACAATACCCTATCCGAGTCTTCTTGAGTCCATGACACAATTTCGAGCGAAGCTAAGCTCGAACTCGGTGCTCACGGAGTAATTTAGGGCCACGGGCTGGGCGATGACTGATAGCGAGAAACCTGATTGAAGTGAATTTGCACATTACTTTTTTGAACTTGTTCTTATGATCCGCATACGAAGATGTGCGATTTACCAACGCTTGACTCACCAGAAAACGATAATCCCATAGTTCGATACATGCCTTTCTTCCATAACCAGGCCTTCTCTTGACGGAACCAGTCTCTTGATAGCGCTGCCAGATCTTTTGGACTCTCCTCAAGCAGCGCAATAATTTTGCTGGGTTTTATCACTATATCTACCAATTTCGAGACCGCTAAACAGCAATAACAATGATTTAAAATGTCAATGAAATGAGATAATTCAATTAAAAATAACTAGAAGTTATTTAGAGTCACTTTCGGCAGTTCGCGCCACAAAATGTAGTAAAAAGTTGTTTTCTTTAAAAACTAGCCCCAGGAAAAAATTTGATCTTGGAACGTACTTTTTCAAACACCACGTCACTTTTATAACGGGTCAGTAACCTGTTCATATGATTAAAACCTTTTTCATATTGTATTTTTCCGGTAGGATAAAAAACCTTTTGAATCGATTACCACCAGCGATTTTTCCGGACGGATACGACTTAGGGACCTTCAAGAAAAGAGCCTACTCCTTTTTAAAAGGCTGACAACGCATCTGCAAATCCCCTGGTGTTGCAATTGTTCATGGGCGGTGGTAGTCACTTATAATCAGGTAAGCCACATACTCGTTTGCCCCCTCTCCTATTAAAAAACGTTTTCAATTAATCAAAACTTTTTTTGCAAATGAGTTTATAATACTGTTGCGCGTCACTATTAATGTCTTGTATATGACAACACTAGTTACCACTAGTGCCCTCTAATATCGAGTAGCAGAACTAGGAGAGTCAAGATACTTCTAGAAATTTCGGGACCGATATGTACTCGAACATACTAGATGTTTCTACAGTAGAAGGTTCTGGAAACTATCTGAGGCCCTATATAAGTCCGGTATAGACCACGACCGGGTCATTATTGAATTGGCGATGCAAGAAAATACTTCGAAGCGAAATAACTGCGAACTAAAGTGATCAGTAGTACAATTGTGTTTTATTATTAGTGTGGTTTTAGATTGTAATTAGTGTTCTGTAATTAAAGTGTCTATTTTGGTAATTCAATCGGTAGTTTTTAATTGACTCGAACCCCAAGCTCGTAACAATACTAAAAATAAAAACCTGGATCTATCCCAGTATTCCCATTACCACAGTATATTAGCCGATTTCAAAAAAGGAGAAGGTTCTCAACTCAACTGTATGTATGTTACGCGTATCTTCATCAATTGTAAACCGATTTTAATACCTTTTTTATTAAATAGTCGATTGATGAGGGGTTGTCCCATATAAATTAAAAATTCGATCCTTAAGAATGGAAAATAGGAGGTGAAGTTTTTAAAGAAACTAGATTGACATTCGGGCTTGTAATATTCCTCAGTCCACTCAGCAGCGATCCAAAAATTAGATTATTAGAAAAAATTAAAAAAGGAAAAAAACTAAAAAGAATAAGAACAATGTCCATTTAATTCAGAAGTCGGTACTAAGACAGTGTATACAATATACTCGTAAATACAGAAATATTTAAGCACTGACTTCGTGCTTCCCGTGGTCATCTTATTTCTTAATACTCCGTGGATAACTCTCTCAATGTTTTTGTGTCTGTTTCACTACAATAACGTTTAGGACTAGTGAATCGTTTTCAAACGACTTCAAAAAGTAGACGGTACTCAATTCGACTGTATGTTTTTTTTTTCTTTTTTTATGTGTGTTACCTCATACCTTTTTCTGGGTGAACCGATTTCGATGATTCTTCTTTTATTTGAAAGCTGGTGCTTTTCGTATAGTCCCTTATAAATTTGATCAAGGTCTGACCAATAGTTTTTGAGTTATTCTTAATAATTTATATTGAAGTCGGTTATACAAAATTTTAAATTTTAAATTATTGCTGACAGTTTTGCCAAAGATACTTTATTTAGTACAAGTATTTACCCATAGGTACATAAGTGTCTTACAACTATGGATATTTTACACAATGGTTTTATTCACTCTTCTACTTGCTTGTAGAATTCCTCCTTCCACAATAGATAGCCAGATGTGAGGCAGTGTTTGAGAAATACTGCTCATGTTGTTTTCTTCTAGCTTCCTAGTTACAATTGCGATGCAGTTTTCAATAGGTGGACATGTAAATAGTGACTGAACATCAAATTTACTATAGCTTCATAGTCAGCGAGATGTAGGTATTTTATCTCACAGAAAAATAATACGAATCCTTTGTATGTGCCCACCACACACACACCAGAGTGTGTCCTTTCTCTCAGGTTTTTGTATCATCTGCACTGCGGTTGCCTGGGTAGAGATCTCTTCTAAGCAATATGCCGCTAATTGTACCTTTATATAATTTATGTTTTGATGATCGTCACTCCATCTAGTGGGGAGTCGCACTACTCTCCGCTTACCGGTAAGAGTAAGCGGAGAGTAGTTGGCATTCGAGAAACTTTCTTCCCCGTCGGTTGTCGATTCTCCAAGCTATATGGCCGGCCTATTGCCTCATCAGCTTACTGATTCATTAGACGAAATGATGTTATTCCCCGAACGCTGTCCAGCTGAGTGGGATCGATTGATCGACTTACCTAGTCAGACATATCCCAGGTAAACAAACTCTTCAACAACTACATAAGTAGAGGTCTTGCATGATTTTTGTCTTGTCCACGTTCATATAGTCATCGTCACGTTGTCGTTGTCCAAACCTTAAGACCGTTTGGAGTTACTTGAGTAGTGCAAGAGTTCTACAGTTATTCTTACCTAATACGTATATAGAAGGTGAATGATGTATTTTCACCATCGATTTGATACCGTATTTTTCCAAACCATTATAAAGTAGATTTATAAACCCTTTTTTATAGGATAAGGGTAACAAACGACCACACATTCCACCCGATTGTAAGTGGTTGCTATGGCCCATAGACATCTACATCTATCTTTGATTACGAATCAAAATGCAGATGCGTTGTTACCCGTGAGGACTAAGATGGAATGCCTCGTTTCCAGTAAAAAGGGTATGTGGTTCTCTACACTCACATACGAAACACAGCAGCATTAAGCTGCTATTTTACGCTGGTATTCTGTCAAAGCGTGGTCCTTCTCCGGTCGAGCCGACCCATTCGTGCTACAACCGTAATATAGCTGCAGCATGGCTCTACCACGTTAAAAAAACATCTTCCATTGCAGCGATGAGGAGATTTCGGGATATAACGTCACCCTCTTACACCTCACTCGATTTAAATAGGTTTCATAATCTGGTTCTGTACTATAAATGGAGAGCTATCGTGGCCTTCTTCAGCACTTCGATATATCAAGTCAATTCGACAATCCGACACCGTTGAAGGGACTGTAGCAGCGCCTAAATTTCGACTGAATCAAAGACAATGTGGCAAATTGTACTCTTCGGCATTCTATACCATTTTCCCGAAGGGTATATGTTGTCTATAGTACTTAAGTCGTCGGACACCGGCTTGTGTGAAATATGACGTCTAACAGCGCAGTAAACTATATGTAGATTGAAACCAAACCCTAGCCCTAACCCTAGTTTTATCACACATACCGCATAAAATAACTAGAGACAACTTTGTAGAATCTTATATAGCAGTAAGTCTAACTAGATAAAACCATTATACTTGCTTCTGCCGCTTGCAGTATCGAATCTATATTCTGTTACGGTTTAAGAGATCATCATCAGTAGCCTTTGTTTGAAATTGATTGTCGGTGTCGGTGGACTGTAAAAGCAACTCACCATCAATGAGACGAGACTATTAGGACGTTTGTCTCTCGCATAATATAAAATATAAAAATTTATCGTCGTGATATCACATTGCTGTTTTATTCTAAAATGTTCACTGAATTGTAGTAGACCATCTTTCTAGGTACCACCCTTCTTACCTGTTTGCCGATAAGTTATGTCCACAGTTATGTCCCGTATTAAAAGATAAGAGACGTAATACATACATACATACAAACGTAAACTCTAACCCCTGTCACCCAGAAAGGTAGACAAAAATTATGGACTTCTATTTGATACGATCATGACACACCTAGCTTCTCTTACATCCATATTCCATCTACGCATACATGATCTTCGGTTAGAAAACTCAAAATGTGTCCCATCTTCCATATATCGCCAATTTAATCGATTCAACGTCATAAATATTCCGTATTTATCGATCAGATTACAGGAGGAAAAGTTAACAAAGAAAAATTTAGAAGAAAGCGCTAGAACACTCGGTCAAAAAGCGGCCGCAGCGGAAACAAGAGCGGTCGCCGCGGAAGGAGATTTGAAGATAGAACGGGAATGGAGGATATCTTTACAGGTATCATTTTTTAAAGATAATGATACCACATTGCATTCATATGTTTACGGATTATATTATATAAATGAAAAGTAATTTCTGAGATGGTTAATTTATAAATATATTAAACCAGCTGGTACCTGGCGCGTTGCAGACGCAGAAGAAATAATTGTGGAAATACCGTTTTAAATTTGTAACAGTTATATTGTTTAATTAGGAACCATAATACATTCATTTAAATACATAATTGAAGTTGAATGATATATATACCTGTCAAATAAATTTGTGGATACGATATGTGCGCCACCTACTGTAAGTTAATTGTACTATACCTATAACCTTCGCGCAAGTGCAAGCAATAAGTTGACAAAGTTTTACCGCAATTTGATGAACGGTATGGCAGCGCATAAAATACAAACCTAAAAATATTTTTTTATTTATTAGATAGATAATAATTAAGTAAATAAAAAAAGACATAAAAACTTTAGCCCATTCCATTCATACTATAGATGACTCTAGTAGTAGTAGAGTGTATTACTTATGAATAATAATAATCACTTATTAAATCTCCTATAAATTAAAACTTTTGGAGTTATATTTGGATTATATTTGGCTTTAGTAGTGTTTAGCAATGCTCATAATATGGCTGGTTTGCGCATTCCACATGCTACATACATCTATTAAATTTAAAAATAAAATAAATTATTGTTTTCGTCCGCTCGCATCAGCACGGGCCCATTAACAGCCCACTACCTCACAATCATTTTATACGTGGTAGTAGCATGGCACCAGTTATATTAGTAGTAAAACTATACTGCTAATATAGCTGGAGTTACTACAGCTATATTAGGAGTATAGTTGCAGCATGAATGGGTCGGCTCAACCGGTGAAGGACCACGCTCTCACAGAATGCCACCGTAAAATAGCAGCTTAAAACTGCTGTACTTCGTATGGTGAGTGTAGAGAACTGGATACCTTTTTTACTGAAAAAGAGGCATTCCATCTTAGTCCTCACGGGTGACAACACATCTGTATTTTGATTCTTTATTGGAGGATAGATGTAGATGTCTATGGGCCACAGCAACCACTTTCCATCTGGTGGACTGTGTACTCGTTTGTCCCCCCATCCATATACAAAAAAAAAGAAATAACAATATCTTTCGCTTTTGGCCCAATACGATCTATTTGATATAATAATGGACTAGCGAATAACATGCGACAGCCGACCCATTCGTGCTACTACTATACAATTAATATACCTGCAGCATGGCTCTACCACGTGTAAATTGTGAATTAAACATGTATATGTGACACTTATTTGTTCTGAAATGAAATTTCAGAAACTTGCGAATAGTAGAAAATGAAGATATACAATATACCCGTATTCAAAAATCTGTAAGGTCGAACCCAGGATCTGTATTAATCTAAATTACAGTAATGGTACTGTAATTTACATATTTCGAAGAATAATATCCTATAACAAGCATACTCTTATACGCCTTTGCTTTCACGATTCAAATGTAATTTAAAATGAAAACACATAGATATTAAAAAGTAGAGGCTGACAAGGCCGAGGTTTACAATGGTCGTCGTGTACAATACACAAAAACATAACCAATTAAATGTTGGCAGGAGTGTTTCCTCAATTTATTTTAATAATACCAAAGTTTAATCAACGTTAATATCAAAATTACGTTGACCTTTTTGAAGTGTACATGTTACACAATTAAATATAGCTTTCATGCACTGCGTTTAATGAGACTAATTTAACACACGTTTACAGTCATGACAACAAAAGTAACTCTTGAATATAATCGTTACAAGTTTTATAATTATTATATGCCAGTTTTGTCTTCTTCACATGTTTCGGATATTTGTATTTAAGATTTAAAAAGTAAAGTGTATATATATACGTGTCCCTCTGCTGGGTACCTGAAACCTTTCATTTCTGGGAGGGCTTTTGAAGCACGAAAAAGTCCGCCGCGCTATGGCCGTGCTGCCCTAATGCATGTTGGAGGATTTCACATGCCCTCGAAACATTTATAATTTATCAAACGTGCAACCTCCTCTTACGATGTTTTCCTGCACCGTAGAGTCGTTTGTTATTAATATATTACGTAAATTTATAAGCTTATTTTCTAAGGGAATATGTTGCCCTTTCTCGTCCTATGACTCTTAACCCTTAAATGCATAATGTATCAAAAACGATACGTTGAGATTTTTTAACTAAAACTTAAAGCCAATTGTTTGTTTTTATTAGGCTGTATGTTACGATGCCCTTAGACTATTTGTCTATCGGAAAAAAAAACAAAGTTTCTCGTATTGGTCCACCATATTTGTTTCGTAGCTGTCAAAAGTATTCTTGTCAGCGAGTGAATGTTTTTGTGAAAAATTCTAACTTTATCCAGACGAATCGGAGTGGATTTGAGACAAATTATATCAAAAAAAAATATACAATGTCAAGGTAAGTGTTTGTGTTTATAGTAGGTTTATGTATTTTTTACGAAAAATTGATTTCTCTCATAAACAAAAGAGTTTTTAGTTTGTATCGAAAATGAGACACCATGCACTTAGGCATAAAAAATATTTCTATGCATGTTGATGATTTTCGCGTTTTTGTTTTTATTTACGCTTCTTTGAACTTTACAAATTTGTTGCAGAACTACAAGAAAGAAATTGAAAGACGATGATATAGAAAATATGCTAATGCGGTTAGAGGCTGGCGAAATTTCAGAAGACGATGCCGAATCAGATGAGGATGACTTGGATTTCTATCCGTCTCGCAAAGATCTACAAGCCGTACTCGAAGATAAAGAAGTAAGTGATGAAGAGGAAGTGCCTGAAACTGAAGAATGCCCGGATCCTCCCCTGGTTCATGAAGAAATCTATCAACAAGCTTCGACTTCTCGGTCTAATGTATTTCCGCAAATAAATACACGAAATTTGATTTGGAAAAAACGCTCTTTGGAGTATAAAGAGGAATCAATTGCTTTCTTGGGTAGTACAGAATTAGGACCTGAACTAATGAAACTAGAAACCCCACTGCAGTTCTTTTCACAGTACTTTTCAGAAGACTTGTTGAAAAAAATTGTTGAAGAAACCAATAAATATTCGACGCAGACCAATATTGATCGCCCCGTTCAAATAAGCCTTACAGAACTTCGAAAATATTTGGGAATATTGATATTCATGTCTGTCTATCGCTACCCAAGCGTTAGATCGTATTGGAGCAGTAAATTTGGATTTAGACCAATAATAGAAGCAATGCCTGTCAACAAATTTGAAAAAGTAAGAAGCATATTACATTTCAATGATAATAATTTACACAAACCAGTTGGTAGCCCCGACCATGATAAACTTCACAAACTAAGACCCATTATAGATCATCTGACAATGAAATTTTCTAGTGTTCCAATGGAACAACGCCTTTCAGTTGACGAACAAATGTGCGCAACAAAAATCAGCCATTTCTTGAAACAATATTTACCCAATAAACCCCACAAGTGGGGGTTCAAGCTTTTTGCGTTGTGTTCCTTGGCAGGATATTGCTATGATTTCATAATATATAGTGGAACAGACAAAGAACCAATGCGTAGTAATGAACCTGATATTGGAGTGACCGGTAATACAGTAATAAAGTTAACTAGAAGAGTCCCAAGAATGATGAACCATGTAATATACTTCGATAACTATTACACTTCATTACCACTAATGTATTACATGGCGAAGGAAGGCATATGGTGCTTAGGTACGGTGCAGCTAAACCGTCTAGGAAAGTCTTGTAAGTTGCCTAAAAAGAAAGAAGTAATGAACAGTAATGTACCCCGAGGATCCTACGTTGAAAACACGACAAGTCTCGATGGTGTGGATTTTTCTGCGATCAGTTGGAAAGATAACAAGCAGGTGACCTTACTTTCCACTTATATTGGCGCTGAACCTGTAGAAACGATTGAAAGATATGACAAAAACCAAAAGAAAAAGGTGCCCATACCATGTCCAAAAATAATAAAGGAATACAACGCACACATGGGTGGAGTAGACCTCATGGACTCTTTCCTAGGCAGGTATCACATAAAAGTAAAGTCTCGGAAATGGTACATGCGAATTTTTTACCACTTACTCGACCTATCAGTAATTAACTCCTGGATATTATATAAGAAAGTCTCTGCTAAAAAGAATTTGAACCCTAAGCAGGTTTTGAATCTGGCAGAGTTTAGAGCTGAATTGGCGGATGCTCTCTGCAAATATGGCGAACATGTTGTACCTTCACGAGGTCGACCAAGCCGAAACTTTTCGGAGGAGCCAGCACCTAAAAGGAAAAACATCCAGCAGGTAATGCCCTCGAGAGATGTTCGGTACGATGGAGTGGATCATATTCAATCGAGGCAACAAAATCGTATGAGGTGCATGAACCCAGGCTGCAAACTGCTGAGTAGTATTATGTGTCTAAAATGTAAGGTGTATTTGTGTTCTAACAAAAAAACAACTGACTGTTTTAATGATTTTCATCTATAGGACATATTTTTGTGATCATTTGGTTGCACATTAGTGCTTTGCAATAATTAACAATAAGTCAATTAACGGAAGTAGTACACAATAGAACTGAGAATAAAATTGTAGTTTTTTGCATGTTGTATCAAAAATGATACCAGAATATTTTTCAAAATAAAACTAATTATATTGAATAATGATTTTTTATTTTATTTTTTCCAGCATCTATAAACCATTTTACACAACATATATTTTTTCCAATGATATTGGGTATGTCATGCATTTAAGGGTTAAAAAAGGTTATTAAGTAGAATAAAACTTAATAGATCAGCACTATTATTATTATACCATAAGTTATCTTATTAACTTACCTTCATATAAGAATGTATTGGGGAAAATGAGCAAGCAATTGAACTCTATATATTTCATTTATGCCTTGGTAGCTCAGAGACCGGACTCTCGGCATAAATTTCACAGTAGGAGAGTTTTCTCAGTTTATTCATCGGTGCCTGCAATTGTGAGGACCAATTTTCTGAATGCGAAGGTCGTGAAAAATTACATTGTGTGGAAAATCTGCATGTTTGAGAAGTGAGATATATTTTGAGTGCATGTGAATTGGTATCTTTGCTCAAGTGGTCTTTTATAAATAATATGAAACAATGCCTATGTAATATTACAGTGGGACTTTTATTGACTGTGACTTTTTGTCTATAAATAATAACAAAATTTAACATTTAAGTTTTAGCTTATTTTTACTCGCACATTAAAGATAATCATTCATTGCAGGACTCTATGATGCGTGACAGGGATAAAATATCAATATTAACACAGGAAGTGGAATCTTTAAAGTCTATAGGGAAAGTAAGTGTACTATATTTTACTTATGCATATATTATGATATAAAAAATTTCAATTTAATTCCTATGAAAATATCTCCAGAAATACATAGCGTTACAAGAAGAGCAACATGTCCTTAAAGCACAATACGTAGAAGCCCAGAAGACCCTAGAAGAAGTTGGGGCGACTTTAAGTGAAAATAAATTACAATTAGCTGAGCTGTTGGAGAAAGAAGCTCACGCGGCCACTAGCGAAGACACGCCAAACTGGACGAGTGATAAAGATGCTGTGGCATGCGCGGCTTGCACTAAGGAATTTAACATTGCACGACGAAAGGTAATTTATTAATAATGATCATATTTAACATAGCTTAAATATTTTAGAGCCTGTTCCTTATAAAGAAAACACTTTAAGGGCTAGATATAATTAATATAATTTACAAAATAATCCACAAATAATTGCATTTTGTTAACTTACTAGTGGTATACCTACATCTGTACAATTAAATAAAGTATCTGTTTGTAATGTCAAAATTACAGCTTTTTACTCAATGCAAATAAAAGTATATACGGTACTTTAACAAAAATACAATTTAAAAAAAATTGTCTGTTTATTCCGGCTAATCACTGATACGGTTGGACCGATCTTGACGGGACTTTCACTGGCAGATAGCTGATGTCATAAAGAGTAACTTAGGCTACTTTTATTTTAGAAAAGAAGTAGGGTTCATCGCAAAAAAAATTAAAATCCTAAATTACACGCGGGCGAAGTCGCGGGGAACAGCTAGTCTTTTATAAAATCAATATCCACAACACATTTACTCGGTAATAACTTGAATACATTTTAATTATTATTGTAAGAAATATATTTTATCTTATTTTCCAGCATCATTGTAGACGATGTGGACATATATTCTGCGCAGCTTGTAGCGATAAATCTGTCGCCCTTCCCGGCAACACTAAGCCGGTGCGCGTTTGTGACACCTGTTTCACGGAAGTTAGGCTGACATAGTCTTAAGTGTGGCAAACATAGAAGAGATTTTGAAAATTCCATCACAGGAAGTGTAAGGCATCTTTTAACACAAATGATTCTTTCATAAAACAGATGGATTTTTGCGATCATCGATACAAAGTACAAGGCGGTGAAAAACTACACATTTTAGCTAATTTTGTATAGTAGGCTTGAAAGTAGAGTAAAGGTCGTCTTTGTTGCACGAAGTACAGTCCATATTAAGAGCTGTAAGACGTTGTTAGTAATTAAATAACAATACTTCAAAGTAGATGTGATCAAAATGATAATGACTCATCATTATAAATTTTCTCATTGATAAAGCGTTATTCGGGCATGAACGACAGACACGTGGTAGAGCCATTCTGCAGCTATATAAGTAGTATAGTTGTAGCACGAATGGGTCGGCTCGACCGGGGAAGGACCACGCTCTCACAGAATACCAGCGTAAAATGGCAGCTTGATATTGCTGTGTTTCGTATGGTGAGTGTACCGACCGAACCGGAGACCCATTTTACTGGAAAAGAGGCATTCCATCGTAGTACTCACGGGTGACGACGTATCTGCATTTTGAATCTTTATTGAGGATAAATGTAGATGTCTATGGGTCACATCAACCACTTACCAGCACGTGGACTGTGGGCTCGTTTGTCACCCTAACCTATAAAAAAATGACGACACTACAAAACCGAAGCTAGTCGAATTTGCCCGTCGCTTTCAACTGAGGCCCCATTTAAAGAAATAGATTCCATCATATCTCGTATTTGATGAGACCTTATATATTACAGCATGATATTTCTTCTAAATCAACACAAGATATCTGCCGATAATTGCTCGCTTGTCTTCTATTGTTTATATAGCATATCCTATTTAATTTTTTTTAACTATAACCATGAACTAACTACGTATAACAGACTGTTTACAATAGTAGCTCGTAAGACTGATCTTATTATTGACCATTGAGTTATATGTACTACATACTAGAGAAGCCATTCCAAACAAAAATTGTGTCCTACTCTATGTCTTCGCGCATGCGCGGGAGTAGTAGTCGCGCATGCGCGAAAACATTAATTTAATCTAAACAAACATATTTCTAAATAAAATGTAATAATAATTATTTTATGGAATTCACAAATCTTCAATTTACGCAATATTTAGTTTGTATGGATTGCACTACAGTTCAGTTGAAGATAGTCAATGTTCGGAATGGCTTCTCTAGTACGTAGTACATATAACTCAATGTTATTGACTAAATAAAATAATTGATTTTATTGAAATGACTTGATAACTGCCTACATTAAAATGTAAAATTAATATATATAAGTAAATATGCAGTAGCAATTTTATTAAATGGTAAATCTTAAACAACTAATCCATTAATTAGATTTCTTAGTTGGAAACATTGAATTTATCAATTATTATATATTAGAAATGTTTTCATTATTATAAATACAACCAGATACAGCTTTAAACATTTGAACACTTGTTTGAAGCTATTTGTGGCACGGGACTTTGAACCAATGTCCAAATAAGTGCGCAGAGAAATGCACTTTGCCAAGCGGTGTCGGGTTTTTAGCGCACATCAAAGCGTTCACCTCGTCCTCGTCTATCGGTACCTATGATAATTTATTTCAAGAGTACAAAATAATGCTAAATAATTGTTATCCAAAGACAGTTTAATTAAAACTTACTGGTTAAAATAAAATTAAACGTTATTATATAATATCATTGTTCAATATGTGTGTGTGATCCCATGTGCTTATGATTCATAAAACTACGAACAATTATTTTTATTATGGGAAAATCTACCTTCAGAAGTATAAAATGACAGAAAACTTCGGAGCCATTGAAAAAAGTGCATCCTCTAACATTTTTGTAATTAATGGTAATAAAAAGTCAAATCTACAAGTACTTCAAAATTAAATATTAAAATCAAAAGCATTTACATTTCTTTTGTTAGCTCCCAAAAATGTATTTAAATTGATTTTATTAAACGCAGTTGTTTTTATTTGTGACTGCAGAAATATCTATCCGTAATGCAGAGGGCGCAATATAGATAATAATTTTACGGTCTTATTTACAAACAGTTACAAAATTAATGTTTAACTGCTTTAGAAACTTTTGTGAGGTTTTGAATCTATTTTATCCAGAATTAAGAATAACTGCTACTCAAGTAAGACTTCCATAAAGTTGGCCACCTTATTGAATACCGTTAGAATATAACATCTTGACTGAGCCAACTTATAACTATATAAGAAATATGGCACACATTTTTTTAAGTTACTTGGTGTTAACTTGGACATTTTATAGAAATTAATTTATATTAATGTATTTATCTGATATCGATGAAATAAAGACTATTTGCTGTACGAATTCTATAGTTTTTTTTTATTTTATTTAAATATTGTGTATTAAGTATATATTGTTGATAATATTAAATAGCATGGTGCTCGAACGAACCAGCTTATTGTTAAATTGATTTATAATAATCGTAAAATTGTAAATAATTATATTATTTTGTATGGCAAGGAATTATGAAAATATATTAAATGGAATTTAGTTTTAGTGTTTTATTTACAATTTTCAACCTTTAAACTGTAAAAAAAAACCAGTCTTTTTAATTTAAAACCATTTTATTCTGAGTCGTCTGTCGTTATGTAGTTCAATATTTGTTCCATTGCGACGGGATTATCCTCTGGTACCTGTAACAATATTTATATTAAAGTAGTACAAGTAGGATCGTCAAAACATTTATAAAGGTCTCTGCCCACTACACCGTATCATACCATGACCGTGCTAGGAGCGTATCAGACACAAAAAGCAACACGATACGCTCTACTATGCCCACTGAACGGATCGACGGCGTTCTGTGCCCGTATACATCCTGTATGATGCCAGTATGCAACCCATATGTAACCCATATGATGCCCGTATGCAACATCCACCAAAACCAATAGGAATCCGTTTCATTCTCGCATGCGTAACAGTGTTGCGTGGACGTCTTGAAGTGCTACCAATTTTTTAAATTGTAAAATAGGTATGGCTATCAGAAAATTAACTGTTAGACAACTGGCGATGATTGCTTTAATATTGGATGAGGAAGAAGAAAAAAACAAAAAAAAACACGGTACTACTGGATTCACGATTCTAAAGAACAAAAAACCGAAGGGGAATATTGGACATTATTCAGATACTTAGTTGATGATGAAGAAAAGTTTTTTCAGTATTTCCGAATGTCTACATTCCAATTTAATGTTTTGCTGAAAAAAATTTAAAATGATATTGTCAGAAAAAGTTACGGCAACGCGCTTGCAACGCCTATAGAACGGTCATCATACGCGTTTACAACCCGTATATGCCCGTATACTTGCCGACTCGCCGCCTGCGCGCAGCGGCTTGGCAACGTCGCGTGTCATGCACAGAGCGTATCAGCACCGGCAAAATATTCTCGCCGACATTTGTTGACGCTCCGTGCATGGCACGCGACGGTGTTGGTCGGTGACGGAACGGTCTAGTGGGAACAGTGTCATACTTAACAATACAAATAATATTTATTTGCCTGACACGTTCCTAGCACGGTCATGGTATGATACGGTGTAGTGGGAAGAGACCTTTATGATATTTTTAAAATATAGAAACAAATGAAAGAGTAAAATAAATTAGATTGACCTGACCTCTAAAGACTGAGCCGCCAAAATAATATGTCTCTTCAGTAATTCTATACAGATATATAGAACAAAGCCAGTAAGCCCATAAGGGAGTTAGTTAATGCACAATTCTAATAAAGACCAACTGCCAATTCACTTTTATCTTTTTCTTTACAACCCGTAAAAAGTTAATGAAGATGGGTCACTTCCATAGACAAAGATGGGTCACTCCCATAGACAAAGATGGGTCACTCCCATAGACAAAGATTTGCCGTTAAAATCACACTTGACAGATTAATTGGTGATCGCAGTCAGTACCACATGTATCGTACCATTGACGCTGATCCCTATTGCCACTTAAAGTGTTTTACATAATTATATTAATATACACCAGATAGTTATACCGCTACCTACTGGAAATCTAAGAATTTCGAGCATATCCTATAGTCGTCTCCCACGATAATAGGCACTACAGACAAATCATTGGTCGCTGGCCGATCCGAATTAATGCGAACGCCTATATTCGAAGTGATACAGCGCCAGTGGCATACCTTTATCTAAACAAAAGTCAGCGGGTGTGTTTATAGGGTAACTTATTTTGTTGACTCAATGTTAATTGACACAAATCAAGTCAATATTTCTGGCCTAGGCGCGGTCTCCGCTTCATGACACGTCTATTCCACGGGTTGTCACTTCTGCGACAGACGTTACCAGCTCACTGCCATTTCAGTATACAAACTCGAAAAGCAAAATCAGCTTGCAAAGCTGAACTTAGTACCCCCGATTATTTCTTCATTACGAATTTTAGAGCATGACACTTTGTATTGCTCACTGAGCGACTATGAGCTTGTGAAGAAAACCCACCACCACCATAAGTGTCCACGTTTCAGCACCATAGGTGGGTACAAGCAGAACCGCAGAACGCACTGCTTGAAGTCTTCTTCTTCTTCAGACTTTAAATAATAGGCAACCGCAAAAAGTTGAGGGAGCATTCCAAATGTTATTTTTAAGAAAGGGAAGTGACAAACGAATTTACAGTCAACTTCATACAAAGAAGATTACAATATATGTTTTCACGCCTGTGGTCTAAGATGCAATATCTCACAGTCTGTAAGGTATAATGGCCCTCTGTAGCCTTCAGATCCGAATACAGCTATGCAATCACTTCTATTTAGAAATAGAAACAAGTAAACGTGTGGTACCTTTCCAGATGACTCAGACAGAGACTAATAGATGTTCTAACACCTAGATCTGTCCGACCTAACTGAATACTCCCGTCTAGTTCTAGTTTCAATTTTTACCCGAGGCAAATACTCGTATATTTCTGGACAACTTAGGTATCTCACAGATAATATTCGTATTGGTATGACGAATTCTCACAGCAGTTATATATTTTTGTAGATATTATTATACAGGTCATTTAGTTGATAATAATTTACACAACCTCCCCCCACCCCTAACCATTTTCTCGACACGAGTGCTCCTGAAATGGTATGGTGAACAATGTAGCACGTTCAAACACACGATAGTGACATCTACAGATGTTATGATATTGTCCAATTAAGTTAGAAGTATAAGTAGTTATGTTCTGCTCTGTCTTAATGACCTAACTTACCCAGTGCCCAGATCCAAAAACGGACCAGAAACTTAACTGTCTTGCTTTTTTGTAAAATCCGTTTCTATCCCCTTTAATCTGAACTCTCTTTGCGTTTCTAAACTCTATGCTGCCAGGCCATCTTAATTTGTGCACCCAGTTTGAAGCCCCTGTTGAAAAATGAAATAGGTAGGAATATATTAATCTACATGAATGATAGTAGTGCAAGATACCTTTTCTACTGATTTCAAAAAGGAGACGGTACTTAATTCGACTGTACGTTTTTTTTTATGTATGTTACCTCTATAACTTTTTACTGTGTGAACCGATTTCGATGATTTTTTTTATTTGAAAGCTGGTGCTACACATGTGGTCCCATATGAATAGTTTTTGAGTTATTCTTAATAATTTATATTGAAGTCGATTGTACAAAATTTTTAATTATTTAATTTGTCCTCTTTGTCATATAGGTTAACAAAAAGAAACGTCAATTCAATCTTACGGCACCCGACATATGGCAGAATTGCCGTTTGCCAAAACTAAAATATTAAAACCAACGACGAGGAGCTGATTCTAAGGTGCGAAAAGTCTGACAACATTTGAAGTATAAATGGGCCGCAAGAGTACTTCCCAAAATGCTTACATCACCAGTTCGCGGCGCACCCTGCTAACTGCCATACTATAAGTACTGCTGGACTTAGCAGGCGGTACCAGACGTTTGATCTTTTGTTAAATGCATAAATTAGCTTATTTCACAAGGGAAAAGATTTTAGCCACTTGAAATGATAACTAAACTATAGAAAAACTAAAACTTCACAGGGCAATTCCATTTATGAAAAAATAAAGGGCGATTACAAATTTGTTCATAAGTATTAATTTTTATAGGATTCTATGGTAGGTATACTGAATACATAATTGTAAAAAATCTTTTTTTTTCTTTTTAGGCTTTAACAGTCATTTAACTTTACGACCGTGTAGGCGCCTGGTACAGAGTATCTGACTACTAGTTATAGGTACAGAGTTTGAATCCCAGTCAGAGCAAAGTATTTTTACCAAATCACGAAATAATGGTTTTCGGATCTGGTTTTGATTATTGCCTACCATCAATGTCATCGAACAAGTGTTACCTCGAGCACGGAAGATTAGTGAGGAGTAAGCTCCTCTGTGTTATTGCGACACTATATCTCCCGCATAATATGTAGACAGGTAAGTTGGAAACTTCATCACATAACGTCACATTTTATACACCAGGTGGAGATCTTTTTATTTAAAACTGCATGCGCCTCCTCTTGTATTTTGTGACATTTTATCATGTCAAATATAGTAAAATTACTAAAATGTACTAAAACACAATAGAAAGGTTGCGCAGATTTAGATTTTATAACAATATTAATACGTTAAATGAGATAAAATTTCACAAAAATAAAAAGGGAGTCGCGTGCAGTTTTAAATTAGACGATCTCTTACTAACTTAAAAGTTAGTTTCGGTCAATGCATAGAGCAACAAGAGCCACCGGCGGACCGGAGGGAGTAGCCATATCGTTTTTCCCCGATACAGAACTGTCTCATTTTTGCGGGGGAAATCTGCGCACACAAAAAGAATGATTTGTCACTACGAAACTCACATATAACCTATGTATGTAATTACTATAAGCATATAACAATTAAAACAATAAACTAACAGTTCCACACACATGTAGATATATCAGTATCGTTCGGTGACAGCGATAACTCGGATCAGTCGCACGACCGATCTGCATATTTTATGAGGGCGAGCGGCCTGTATCGGTAAACAAATCCAAAACAATGCCATCGTTATTATTGTAATTTTTAAGTTTAAAAAGAAGCAAATAGTAATAGGTAATACATTTAAAATCTGACATATAAACATTAAACAATGGTTATTTGGGGTTTATGTTATTTCTCAAATCAGAAAGAGTGAAAATCCTTATTTTTACAGGACAAGGTAATTAAAGTAGTAGTTGGCTGTACTACCATACAAAACTTACCTGCAAGCGGAGTGATCACATCTAGGTTTCCGTTATAGACTGCTATCTTCAGTTTCGTTTTATTAAGCAATTTTTCTACTGAAAGTGTACAAGAATTAGACTGTGCTTGGACAAAATGCTATTTTTAAATGTAATCATATTTATAAATAGTCTATTGGCTAAGCAAGTAATAGTGTCGGTACACCCGGAGACGCACTAATTATTTTACTTTTATTGTGTTTGTTAAATTAATGTTTTTCTATTCTAAGAGTAAAATGCCGTGTAGTGGCGGACAAGAATATCCACTACCCCATATCTTCCCGTGGGTGTCATAAAAGGCGACAAAGGGAAACAGGCAGGAGATGGGCAGCAGCATCTTCCTGATAATAGCCAAAATTACAATAAAAAAACTGCGGTTGCCAACCCGCTCGCCAAGCGTGGCAACTATGGCAAATACCCCCCAATGATTAGAGCAACAAACAGACGGCCCCCAGTCCCCGGCGGCCCCGCTATTCCTGGCTACGGTGGCGACCATGATAACGGCGGGGCAGGGGGTGCTAAGAATCTCCGGTGGAGGTTTGGTTGCCACCTTAGACGACTCGACCTGGCAACGTACAACGCACGCACCACGCACCCTGAGAACTGACCAGAAGATCGTGGAGCTGGAAGAGGAGATAGACAAGTTACGCTAGCATATTATAGGATTATCCGAAGTCTGAAGAGAGGGGGAGGACACGGTAATCCTCGAATCCGGCAACTTGCTATATCACCGGGAGGGCGACCATCTGTCCCAAGGAGGTGTCGGATTTATCGTCCACAAGTCTCTCGTTAACAACGTTGTAAAGATTGAGAGTGTGTCGACGAGGGTTGCGTACCTACTCAGAATCACCAAACGGTATTCGCTGAAGGTCATACAGGTTTACGCACCAACCTCGGCACACCCCGATCAGGAGGTGGAGGAAATATATGAGGATATCTCTAGAGCCGTGCATTCCTCCAAAACCCAATATACGGTGTTAATGGGAGACTTCAATGCAAAACTAGGCACAAGAGAGAACGGTGAGCTGAAAGTAGGGAAATTTGGAATAGGGCAATGGAACCCAAGGGGCCAGCAGCTGGCCGACTTTATGGAGAAAGAGGGACTCTTTATTATGAACTCTTTCTTCCAGAAGCGGCCCCACAGGAAGTGGACCTGGTCGAGCCCCGACGGTTCGACAAAAAATGAGATTGACTTCATTATGACGACCAGACGACAACTGTTCAGTGATGTCTCCGTGATCGCGAGGGTGAAAACTGGTAGCAATCACCGAATGGTTAGAGGCACACTGAACCTAAACGTTAAGTTGGAGAGGTCTCGTCTAATGAAGTCAACGCTCAGTCCCCCTCGTGCTCTGTTCCAAAGTCCCGAAACCTTTCAGCTCGAGTTACAAAACCGTTTTCAGTGCCTAGAAGCCTGCAATGAAGTGGACGATATGAATGACAAGCTCGTGAAAACTGTTCATGCGGTCGGAGCTAAGTTATGCAAGACCCGCCGCAGAAGAACACAAAAACTCTCCGATCACACTCTTAATCTCATGTCTGTTAGACGGGAGATGAAGCTACATTCTTCAACAGATTTGACAGCATACAGGCAACTGAACAGACAGATCTCCAAATGCATGTGACGGGACTTACGCAACTTCAATACAGCTTGTATTGAAGAAGCGATCGAGCGGAACCAAGGCTCCAAAGTCTTTGCCAGAGATCTGTCTGCCAGAAAGAGCCAACTGTCAAGGCTGAAGACCGAGTGTGGCAGCATCGTTTCCGGGGTACCTGAGATTTTGAGTGAGATTAAGAGGTTCTATGGACAGCTGTATACGTCATCGTTGGAGCCATACGCAAGTGTGAGTAACGATCCAAGAGCGAGTCTTATCCAACACTATTCCGAAGATATCCCGGACGTCAGTCTGAGCGAGATTAGAATGACTCTCCAGCATCTTAAAAACGGCAAGGCCGCAGGCGAGGATGGAATTACAGCGGATCTTCTAAAGCGGGTGGAAAACCGGTACTGGAAGTCCTTAAGAGGCTCTTTAATTCCGTCCTCCATGGTGGCATTACACCGGAAGCGTGGAGCAGAAGTTCGGTGGTCTTGTTCTTCAAGAAAGGCGACAACGCGCTCTTGAAGAACTACAGACCGATTTCTCTTCTGAGCCGCGTCTACGTGCTGTTTTCGAGAGTCATTACGAATCGTCTCGCACGCAGACTTGACGAATTCCAGCCTACCGAACAAACCGGTTTCCGAAAGGGCTTTTGCACCATAGACCACATACATACCCTTCGGCAAGTTGCACAGAAGTCCGAAGAGTACAGTTTGCCACTATGCATGGCGTATGTGGACTATGAGAAATCCTTTGATTCCGTCGAAATTTGGGCGGTGCTGCAGTCCCTTCAGCGGTGCCAAGTTGACTGTCGGTATATCGAAGTGCTGAAGTGCTTGTACAGTAGAGCTACGATGGCTATCCGTGTACAGAACCAGATTACGAAACCAATCCAATTGCAGAGAGGTGTAAGACAGGGTGACGTTATATCCACGAAACTCTTCACCGCTGCATTGGAAGACGTTTTCAAGCTTCTGGACTGGAAAGGATACGGTATTAACATCAATGGCGAGTACATCACTCACCTTCGATTTGCCGACGATATAGTCCTTATGGCAGAATCGCTGGAGGACTTAAGCACTATGCTCAATGACCTCAATAGTGTCTCCCAACGGATAGGTCTTAAGATGAACATGGACAAAACAAAGATTATGTTTAATGTCCATGTCACACCTATGCCGGTAGTTGTTGGGAGCACTAAGCTCGAAGTTGTTGACGAGTATGTTTACCTGGGACAAATAGTCTGACTAGGTAAGTCCAACTTCGACCGAGAGGTCAATCGACGGATTCAACTTGGTTGGGCAGCGTTCGGGAAGCTACGACACATCTTCTCGTCAGACATACCTCAAAACCATAAAACGAAATTGTACAACCAGTGCGTGTTGCCGGTGATGACTTACGGATCTGAGACGTGGTCCTTCACTGCTGGCCGTATGAGGAAGCTCAAGGTCGCTCAGCGAGCTATGGAGAGGGCTATGCTCGGAGTTTCTTTGCGTGATAAACTTAGGAATAAAGATATCCGCAGTAGAACCAGAGTAACCGACATAGCCCAACGGATTAGTAAGCTGAAGTGGCAGTGGGCCGGCCATATAGCTCGAAGGACCGACAACCGATGGGGAAGAAAGGTTCTTGAGTGGCAGCCTCGTACCGGTAGGCGAAGTGTAGGGCGACCCCCCACGAGATGGAGTGACGACCTGGTAAGACATGCAGGAAGTCAATGGATGCAGGTGGCTCAGGATTGTGCTTTGTGGCATTCCTTGGGGGAGGCCTATGTTCAGCAGTGGACTTGTGAAAGGCTGTAATGATGTATGATGAAGAGTAAAATAGAATATATTTTTTCCTTATGGTTATTGTGATTAAATACGAATATAAATAATAAACACACTTTTTCCTACGGCACTTAATTTTAAAATGCAAAATTTTCCTGCCGGTGTACACCGCACGCGGCGACCTTTAATGTCGCGGCGGCGCCTTTGACAAGATGCGGCACGTGCCAAGGCGGTACGACACAAAGGTGACCGTATCTAAGCGAACAGACTACCAAAATTAACATGGAATTCCGTGCTGTGCATTTTTTAAACTATTATAAGCTAATACTAGACTACTCCCCCAGTAATTATATAGCCGATGATGGTAAAGCGCACTGACTTAGCTTCAAACATAATCCTATTTAATTTTCACTCTTGTCTTTAAAACACCCACATTATTTACACTATTACTAAATGCAGTTACATTTTTTTAATGTTTATGTACTTTAAAATATTATTAGTAGTAGTCACTTACCATCAGGTGAGCCGCATGCTCGTTTGCCCCTCTTCTATAAAAAAATATTGGTACCTATTTAAAATTATCACTGTTGAAATTTTATTTTTAATTAACCTTTTTTATTATATCAAATACTTCCATGTATAGTGGCGACGTAATATAATCTCTACCCCATATCATCCTGTGTGTATCGTAAGAGGCGACAGAGGGACACTGGCACAGGAGGTGGAAGCATTATCTTCCTGATAACAACTTAAAATAATAAAAACTACAGTTGCCAACGTACCTGCCAAGCGTGGCAACTATAGCAATATCTCACCTTTTTTTATATCCGCCGCACTGCCCCAGTGCGTGTTGGCGAAATTCACGTCTTTGAAATATTTTTTATCTTATTTCTCAGACATGCAGGTTTCCTCACGATGTTTTCCTTCACCGCCGAGCACGTGGTAAATCAGCAATTAAAATTGCAATTAACAATTTCATTGTTGCCGGCGGGGATCGAACCCGGGTTGCTCGCGTACTGTGAAGCTTACAGCGAGCGCTAACCATCTGAGCTACCACGGCTCTACGCATACTGAGTTTAGTTACTGAGAGCTACGCGTACTGACTACTTTTTTTCACTTTGAATTTTAAGTGTAGAGACTAACAGACCTGGATGAAGAAAAAATTAATAGACTGAGATGGTATGCTATGATGTACGTCTTCTTTAGGAGTAATTGTGTTTGAAATCTTTGGGTGAAATAACTTCTAACCGTCGGACGCCAGCACCTCGTCCGCAATGTGCTCCGCGAGAGCAGATTAGGTTGACATTTGAACAGAGAAGTTCTTAAGTACATTATTACGTACACCTTATTCGCTTTTTTTATGTAGGTAAGAACTAATATTTAAAAGGAACAACAATGAAATGTATAATATCACTCACAGAAAGAACTGGATGGCACAAAGAACACGTTATTCAATTTATAAAAAGCATCTTCTGATAAATATGTCCATTCCAAGCTTTGATTAACTAAATGTGATAGCGTCGGCTTGACATATTTATTGATTTTCTTCGCCAATTCTTCTAATGCTGTATATGGGTTGACTTGATTTATGTTATTAAAATTAATTTCCATTCCTGCTTCGTTATTTAATGTTTCAAACATTATTGTATTCAATTTTTCTGCGTACACATAACCTTTTTTATCGATGTAGTTAGCCATTTTCTTCACTAAACTCATCGCCTTTTGATAAGTATTAATATCAATTACTCCCTAAAATAGTTAAGATTAATTAACATTTTTTATTTGTGAATATGAAAAATATAAAATGTACCTAATCCGTCTGACGGTAGGCAAATGGTCAGTCAGATTGCCTGACAATCATCCTCGGTGAAAAATCAGAATGCATGTGCAAACCTCTTGGGACTAAGGAAATACCTATGTGCAATTGAGTTACCGGTTGAAAAACTACATTAAATATAAAACTACACATACATAGCAACATACCGCGAAGCAACTCTACAAACAAATTAAGTTGTTTATTACTGCATCATGGGGAACAAATATCTAACACATACATCATAAACAAAAACCAGTTAGCGCAATCTAATTACTTAATCAAAAGTCAAAACTTGCAATCTTTACATAAGTTTTGTTAACGTGGTAGAGCCATGCTGCAGCTATATTAATTGTATAGTTGTAGAATGGGTCGGCTCGATCGGGGAAGGACCACGCTCCCACAGAATACCAGCGTAAAGTAGCAGCTTAATACTGCTGTGTTTTGTATGGTGAGTGTAGAGAACCGGAGACCCTTTTTAATAGAAAAGAGGCATTCCATCTTAGTCCTCACGGCTGACAACGCATCTGCATTTTGATGACGAGGATAAGTGTAGATGTCTATGGTCCACAGCAACCACTTACCATCAGGTGGACTGTGTGCTCGCTTGTCACCTTTATCCTATAAAAAAAGTCGAGTGTACCTAGTTTAGTGGTTTTCAGAATTTTTGTCCGTATCTCTGTCTGCGTATTCACGATTCACTCAAAAATTACGAAACGGATTTCAATAAAATCTCGTATGTAAGTTAGTGACCCGGAGCAAATTATGGGTTACATTTTACGGAACTTTAAGGGAGAGTTAACTATTTTCCTTCCTTTAGATGTAATTTTTTATTACGTTTGATTCTGTTAGTAATCATTTTGATAACTATCAGAAAAGACACAATAACGAAGTGTTTTTTCAAATAAATACCATATCTATACAAATAAATAAAATTGAAGTGTCTGTTTGTAATGTCAAAATTACAGTTTTTTACTAAATGCATATGAAAGTAAATACGATACCTATAACTAAAATACAATTTTTAAAATTTTTGTCTGTCTGTCTGTCAGTCTGTTTGTTCCGGGTAATCTCCGAAACGGCTGGACCGATTGTGACGGGACTTTCACTGGCAGACAGCTGATTTCATAAGGAATAACTTAGGCTACTTTTATTTTAGAAAAAGAATCAGGGTTCCGCGCAGAAACATAAAAACCCTAACACGCGAACGAAGTCGCGGGGAACAGCTAGTTTATAAATAAAGTTTAAAAATTATTTTAACCGTTGTGTAATAATTTGAAACTACGCCGACGATAGCAGGCGATTTGCCAACCGCAGCTTTTTACGGGAGGTTACCGTTTACCGTTTTAATCGTATTATAATAACGGTAACGCGTAACGATATGGAGTGGCGAATTTTATTTCGCCACCACTATAAGGCGAATATATTTCTGCTCCCGATCATGAATGTTGTTCTTCCTAAGAAATGATGAAATTTTGGTATATTATACTCGCACTCGAAAAAATATTAACATCTATTTTATGGTACCAATCAATATTCATTGGGGGTCAATGAAATGAATCAGATATTGCAAATAAACATTATGCCGTAAATTAATAGAAGACCACAAAATTCAATTTTTTTTATCAAAACTAAATTATCTTTAACTATATACCTATGAATAAAGTAAAATGTAAATAACGCAATTCCGAGCTAACTACAAGTGATTCAATTTTGCTAATTTGTGCAGAAAGCAGTTATCTATACAAATAGATAAAATTGAAGTGTCTGTTTGTAATGTCAAAATAACAGCTTTTTACTAAATGCATATGAAAGTATAAGGTACTTAAACAACTTAACAACAAAAAACAATTTTTAAAATTTTTGTCTATCTGTCTGTCTGTTTGTTCCGGCTAATCCCCGAAACGGCTGGACGGATTTCGACGGGACTTTCACTGGCTGATAGCTGATGTTATAAGGAGTAACTTAGACTACTTATATTTTAGAAAAAGAATTAGGAATCCGCGCAACATAATTAAAATCCTAAATTACACACGGGCGATTTCGCGGGGAACAGCTAGTTTATGAATATTATTATTAACTAACTGTAAAAAGCTGTTATTTTGATATTACAAACAGACACTTCAATTTTATTTATTTGTATAACTGTAGAGATTAAAGCCCACGCAAGCGAAGTCGCGAGTGAAATGTTAAAAAATATAAGTAAATCATATATGTAACTAGCACACTTTAGATTTAAGCAAAGGTCAAATAATTTCTTAATTTCAAGTAATTAATTAATATCGCACCATGTTATAAAGAAAATTTGGTTGAACTAAAGTACTCTCTTTCGGATCCACCCAACCGCTACCAATTCCAATCCCTCTCAAATTCATCTTGAGTCGCTTCTTTTCAATTGCCTGAAAAGAAAAACGAGTAAGTACTACACAATAGAATCAGGTGTACACAGATGTAATTGCATGCAGACAAAACATTGTAAAGCATGCTAATAAAACGATGTTGGTGTACCGTGTTCAAATAAACGCCCAATCTCGGACTCAATTTACCTCCGTAACTTTGACCGAATATGAATGTAGGTGTTTTACGAAATTGCTTATTTGTTTTAAAGAACGCCTTTATTACTTTTGTGAGGTCTATCGCTGGGAAAAAACATAAGTTTTATTAACGCAACAATACAATATAATGAATAAAAATTACAGTAATAATGAATAAAAATTACAGTAACTTTTTGGTATTTTAACAATTATATAGATAACCGGTTGCATTATTGAACACTCGTGAAAACATTCGTCAAAAATCCAAGTGTAGTTCAAGATAATTGCTATTTACATATTCAAATAAATAATTACAATTAATTTTATAGATTCGCACTAATTACTGAATGATAAAAACATAACATGAACTGTGTTCTCTAAACTACACAATATTATGAGGTTTTATGCTTTTAAGCTTAACTACATTTTAAAAGCAAGACTATTTTATTTTATTTTTTACAATCTGTAACGAAAATATTCGTAGAAGAAACAAGTAGTTTGACAGATCCGGAGGCTGAATTGTCGATGCGCCAAAAATGGGAAAATAGGAAAAAAATCCGCCCATTGCGCAAGTGTAGATGTGAGGCCGTGTACGAAGGCGCACATTGTGGCATCTTGCCTGAGAAGGTATCTAGAGGAAGAGTTGTCCAAAGTTGATGTGTTTTAGCAAAGTGTTAGCAAGTGAGTGGCGCTTTTGGGGGCTTCGGATTTGTGCAAATGTATTCCCGTGAACCCCCGTGTAGCAACGGTTAGTGCGTAGTGTAGTCGTGAAGTGTCATAGAAGTGTTGAAAACACATAAACACTCCTACGGGGATATCCCCACTCACTGACTACAAATTTCACCTTAAGGTGGCACAAGTTGCGGATTCGAACTCACTGGTGGGCGTGGCCAAAAAGCACGCCGTCTCACCTGGTATCGTGCCCGATAGAGATAGTATCAGTGATGAGTAGTTAGAGTAGTTAGTTAAAATTATCCCACAGGAACAAAATACCTGAATAAACGGTATCATGTGTAATTTCAGACTGTAACCTATCTCTGAGCTAAATATCATCCAGATACCTTCAGCCGTTCTAGCGTGATTGAGTAACATACATACATCCATCTATCCATCCAAACATCCAACCTTTCGCATTTATAATATTTATATAATAATTGTATTTAGTTCTGCCTACGAATATAAATTCTTTTCAAAAATACTTACTTACCTATCTTCTTACTTTTTTATATATATACTCAATATCACTAAATGTAAATAGAGGCAGTCTTGGTAGTCAAAAACTTAGCTAAGTTAAAATGTAAATAATAAGATAGCACATTTGCTACCAGTCTTAAATTATATTTGGATAGGTACCTAATTACCTATCTTTTGTTCAAAACTTCTTACTTAAATTATTTATGTCAATTAAATGAAATTTGTCATTATTATCATTACAATTATATGTCAAATTTAAATTATTATTGCATATTGAATTTTTCATTTGTAAATTTAAGTTATGTCTTAGATTATTTAAAAAGACAATTTTATGTACATTTAAGTTATTAAGTTGTTCAGTGTATCTTAATATCTGTTTGTTGTTTACGCTGCCTCATCTACCAACAAAAATTATTATTTTACTATTTGGGCAAAATTTTACCAATTAGTTTTACAACTTATCACCAGGGTTGCCACAGCTTATTTCCAATAGAATAGAATGTAATCAACGAAAATGATGAGAGGTGACGAGCGTTTCATTACTTTTTTTTTCAAAAAACATTATGACACTAGGATATTTATTATTCAGACCCGGAACAATTTCGTTGGCCATACAAATAGTTATTTCGTGCTCTGATCGTACTCGATGCCTACGGCCCCACAGCCAAATGCATAGCAACTGCGCTTCCGGGCAAGCATTTATAAATGATCTTATAGTTATAAGATCATTGGCCTTTTAAGATTAATTAATCCATTCCTATCCAGTTATGCTCTATAGAAAACGAATCTATAAACTTCCATTAAATTATAAAATTGCTGTGGCTTTGTTGATTTTCTTTGAAAAACTACACTTTTATATGTAAGGTTCTTTAACTTAATCGCGTTTTGTGATTTTTAGCGAGTAGTATTTCTTTAATAAGAATATGACTTACCCATTTCCCTGTCAGTCTTTACCAGCAATGATTTATTCGTTACATAGCTAAAGCCTGTACCGACTGGATGATCGATCAGTAACAAATTTCTTCCCTTTACCTAAAATAAATACTGGATGTATTTTTATATTATCATGAAGCATGGTAGCTACATTTTTGTTTAAAAAAGTTGGACTAAGCTTTAAGGGATAATAGGGTTAACAATACAATTGTTCACAAAATATAACGATATTATATTTATATATTTATGAAAAGTCCTATTTCAATTATACTTTTCGAACATTAATTCACTTTAAGGTAAAAATAATACTACATAAATAGTATACAAATCTTGAAAGTCAATAAGGAACCTAAACCTAATTGCAATTTCCTTCACTTAATAAAAAAGGTGGCAATTATCTGAAGCTTACCCATGTATGATTACGTGGTTGCATATTCATATCGAGGGGACCGATTTCAGCAAAATTTCCAATCCCACTAGACGATAATCCCGGACCGCCTTGTATCCATATAATAAGAGGTTTTCGATCAGCTCCAGTAGAAGTTCCATCGGCATAATAAAACCAGTAAAATAGATATGCACCGGGACGAACTTCAACATATTCTTGAATACTTTTCCATTTGTAGGTCTTTATAGCCTTTAAATAAGGATTCTCTTCTGTAATATAGAATATGTTAGAATATACTATATAATTAATGAATCCACGAACGTATAATAATAAACGCAACTGACGAACCTTCGCATTTCAAATATCCCGCCAAGCATACCAATGTTAACATACGTATGAAGATCACAAACATGGACCTAGAAAAAAGGGCGGACAGAGTCTCGCTAACAAACAATTGAGGCGTCGCAGTGACGGCAGCGTAACTATGTGTGAGCGTGTAGAGGGTTGCAAGATGAAGAAAAATTACCCATTTTTAAACGCAAAATAATTCAATTAGATTTAAGACATTCGTCATCGTCCTCGGAACCAGGACTTTAAGTTTAATAAAACAAGATTGTAATAAAACACATTGAATATAAAAATATTGATTATGAATATTTATTAATATTATAATTAATTTACATTTATTAACGGTTTTTTTAGAGTCCCTTTTGTTGGGTTAATTTTTTATAATATTGTCTTTTACTGTCAAAAGACTTAGAAATCTCCTTCAATTTAGCTATATGGTGAAAACGAATATTCAGATATTTTTCGGCTATATATTCAATGAGAGCTATTTTATGTTTTACTCTAGCAAACGCATGGTCAAGTTTTAAATTTAAAAAAATCCTGTCGTTAGCTATATATTTTTCCAGAATTTTGGTAAGCCTGTACTGATGTTGTCTTTCAGTATATATAGTTATATTATCTCTTAAATGCTTTCGGATCACTATCTCGCAAGTACAAAAATAAGGATGTATTTATTTTCAAAAAGAAAAGCAATACATCCCTTTTATGATGTATTTCTTTTCTAAAAGAAAAGAAATACATATCGGTGAAAAACATTGTAGTATAACCTATTCAACTAAAAAAGAATCATCGAAAACGTTTCGACATTGTCGGTGTAACTTAAAAAAACAAAAAACATTCAGTCGACTTGGCTCTCTTGACCTCCTTTTTTTCAAATCGATTAAAAACTTCTCTCCTTAACACGTACGTACCCCATGCGAAGCACTGGAAGTATTTGCTTCAACGAGTTGTTCCTCCGGAACGCTTGACGCCTCAAATAAAAACTAAAAAATTAATTACGTTTCAATATGTTAAGCTTATAATTGTAAGAGGAAAATAGATATTCATTGATCTTTATCTTTTTTGGGATGGCGTAAGTAACAACGCGAAGAAGTCCACCTTTTGTTCTCTATAAATCATTCTCCTCGAAATGTTTACTGCAGATTACACTAGATTTAGATGTATTCCAATTGTTTTCATTTCTACAGTCTTTTATTATTTGCACCCAGCCATTCTTCCACACATCATCTGCAGAGGGAAATCTATAAAATGTAAAATTTATAATATTGGTACTTTAGTATCATGGGACGCCAAAAGTATATACAGAGGTAAATTAATGAATTAAGGAACAATTCAAAGTGAACAAAAAGATATTAATCTCCCATATTTAAGGTAACTTGCAAATTTAATAACTGGCAACACTGATTAGTTTCGTGTTTTGATAATAATTTTTGTTTGTTAATAAAATGTTTTGATAATAAAGTTTGAAATAAATTAAAGTAAAAATGAGAAATAAGGTGAATAAATTACTTACTTACCTATGAAAAGTGATCCCCTGGCTTTTTTTAATGGAACCACTATGATTTCAACAGGTTTTCACTACAATGTTACGCGGACGCGGTTTGGAGCGTAATGGCGGGCTGTTGACTTACTATGGTGTGCATGTGTGCGTGCCGGCTTGTTTGTATTAGCGAGCTGACTTAGTATGGGTGCATCAGTAATTGTTTTAAGAGACGGCGTCCGCCCTTTTTTCTAGGTCCATGATCACAAACATTATATTCACTACTAAAAATACACTGTGCTACAAAACTCCCATGTGCACAACAGAATCACTTAGACACATTTAAATACAACGAAATAACACATCGTACTGTGACAAAGGTGATATCATCAAAACACTATGCTATTTAAATTAATTAATCACAAATGAACCAAAAAATACCGACACATGTTCAAAACGCTGGTAAATGTTGTCGCTGTCACGCGATCGCAAACGCTACCTATCGGAGATACGTAGGTGGGATATTATCCTATTCACTAATCTTAACCACACCTGTTGGGTTATTTTGGACATTTACTCGCTTACAAATAAGTACCAGTTGGTCGTTCGCAATTTCGAAGCATACATAATATTAAAACATCAGTAGTGTGCTCCTCTCACAAACACTAATGTAAAGTTAGACCAGTTTCTTACATTAAATATAATGAACACGTTCTTTAGTAAAACAAAATCTGTTCAGGCAAAACGTTTATTTTAAGAACAAATCAATGAATGACCCAAATATACCGTTGTTGGCGTCATTAATCTTTCGGTGTCTCGGTCGTCTATGGGAGTTTGTCGGTGCTTTGGTAGATAGCATCGAGAAATGGATACTATTTATATATTTAGAATTGAGTTGTGATGATGTTTCTGGCGGCCTGTTCGTGGGTGTTACTTGTGTGACCCCAACTACATGACCCAGTGGGCCACCCACTACACCTGGTCGGTATGTCATATATATTTCTTGTCCATCTTCGTGAACAGGTTTGACGTAATCTGAAAGAAAGTGAGTCTTGTTATTAAGGCTACCAGTCCATGTTTTCTCTGCAGAAATAATTTATGACTACATCACAACTTTTATTATGCATCGCGAGATACTTGCGTAAGTTGTCGCATTATACTTTCTGTGAACTTTAACAAGACATTTAGGTAATAATATTCCATATTTTATTGAACCTCAAGTTTTAAACTTTTTTTACGGAATACTTCTTGGAATTTGATACTGAATTTTCCATATTTTTAATGATATTTCACAAACCTGATGGGTTAAGATGCAACGGTGGACGGTAAGCATTACTACCGAACAAACCACCTGACCAGTAGGGTGATTGCGTAGGCCTACTAGTAGGTCTTCCGGGATAAACCGATATAGGTCTCTGCGATGTTGAAAAACCATAACCCGTGGTTGGTCTTAAGAAGTTGAAGAAATTCCCTAAGAAGAATCTGTTGTCTAAGTTCCCTTGCCTTCTTCCAGATTGTGTCGCTGCTGCAATTATTAATAAACATTTTTACAATCACAATTAACACGTATAGCCTAAGAATAGTCACTACCTCATAATATCGTCGCGTGGGTGTCGTAAAATGCGACAGAGGGATACAAACCAGGATATGGTCAGCAGCTTCTTCTTAATAAAAAATAAAAACCGGCTATTGAGTAACCGACCTAGTTCAACAAATCAGTAAGCTGAAGTGGCAATGGGCTGACAATATAGCTCAAATGTTTATTTTTGCCGCCTAATAGCGGTGCTAGCACTGCTGGGTTCCGGTCTGATATAGAGAACCAACCTCAGAGGTGACAACGTAACTGCAGCATTTTTCATTTGAAGTTGACTGCAAGTGTCTATGATTTCGTTTACGTCTAGCTAACTAGTTAACGTCAAGTTAACTACTTCTAAGTCGTGTTGCAGATTTGAATGTAACGAAAATGATACTTATATTTTGCACTATGTCAATAATCGTTGACATATTGCATTACGATCTGGGGAGGGGCACCTAAAACGACCATATTGCGATTAGAAAGGGCTCAGAAGGCAGTATTATAATTTAGCAATTCTGTTCCATTCCTTTATCCTACAACTGACCTTTATCAACACTGTAGTATCTGTTCGCAAATTGTTTATATTGCACACTACGCTATTAAAACATTCCATTATACAATATGAGTCCTCAAATAATGATAAAAGAAGGCAATATATAGTTTGTTCCAGTAAATATCTAAAGACACAATTTTCACATATATTTTTTGCTTCGTGGGAGTTTACCTCTATAAAAAATAAAAAAATTTATCAATTTACTCTCTATCTCTACCAAAATATGCATGTAAACAAGAATTACAGACTTGGTTGCTAAATATCGATTATATGAATGCTGAAAATTTACTAACAGTATTATCCTAAAAACACGCAACCTAATACGCACACACACACAAAATTGCACATATAAAATCATTCCTTGTGGAAATATTTGTTATCTTTGTATTTTCTTGTAGTATATTTGGAAATATAAATACGTAAGTATACAACAGTAGATACACAATACATAAATGTAGTGAACAACTTCATTTATTAATAGAAGAGCCTATAAATATTACATAGATACAACACTTGTAAGGAACTTTTACTAGTTCCTTATAAATTCACCGGTACAGACTCGCGGATAAAAGGTATACATATATACAGTTATTTTTGCAGTTGCACCTAAAGTATAGGTAGGTATTACGAATATTTAATAAAGTTTGTGGTGACCTTTTTAATCAGAATTTAACACAGCTTTTCTTAGGATATGTGCTTGAAACCTCAGCTAGTCATGGAAAACAAAAAGTACAAAACTCTTAAGTCCCTCCTCTGTTCTCGTAAGCAGTCAATTAACTATATCGTTATCCCCCGACGATAGCCTAAAAGGACATATTGGACGGCCCGTAAAGCAGAAAAAAGAATACAATGAGCATTCTTTCTTGTACTCTTCTTTATCAGTTTTTCTCAACATAGTGCTACATGAAGTTTTTTCAAGACTTCGCCAATTGGAACACAGAACTTGAATGATTAGTCCATACTCTTCATGTGGGACGGAGAAGGTGATTAGCACAGAGCTATTACTCTAGCGCTGATGATGATGATTTCCAATACCGGTCTATGGTTCGATATTTTAAGTATATATATCGTCTTCTATCTATCGCCAGAACCTTATTTGTTGATTAGCAGCGTGCACTATATGCAAAGTAGTGTCGATATAATATGTTACACCCAACACGATTATTAAAGTTTCAGATGCGTACACGAAAACACATAGGCATGCGATAAAATGAAATATATTCCTTCAACGTAAGAAAACAAAATTTCGTTTGTCAAATGTCATTTTTTCAAATCTACTACCGTTTCGATTTCAAGATGAAGTTCCGAAGAAGGTACGGCGAATGAAACTGGGTACTTACTCATTCTAACAAATTGGGAGTACGCTAGTAAGCAATCTCAATTCATCATTGTTCATCTCCAACTGGTAATAAGCCTTTCCTATTATATGGAGCATTAGTCATAAATCACTAAGCAGGCAGTTTGAGGATCACATTAACAGACGTCTCGAATCTTTAAAACTGCTCACCATCTACGTGTTTTCTAATTGGTAAATAGGTGATGGTTATACAGCTACCCAACAGTGGTTATAATATCCCTCTGGCGTTTGCTAGTCTCCTCTTACGACATCCATGGTGGCGAAGTAAGATGAGTTTCTTACACCACCACTTACATGATTGATTGATAATTTTAATGGGCTTAACATTTTATTTCTATTTAGAACTAATGACAGCCCACTAATAATACAGTATTAACCAAATGGTGAGTATCATAGTTATTTGTGATAAATGAACCTTTATGGGACCTTTAATTAAAATAACATTTGGCTATATTTTAATGCCAATAATTTCACCAACAAAATTGAGAATAAAAAACATGCGTGAGTGTCGTGGAACACTCGGTTGGAACGAAGTTCCTTATTATTGATAAAAGTATAATATTATTGATTAACAAATACAAATAAATGTATTACTAGGGTCTAATAAAATGAAGCGTCATTTAAAATAAAATACACTATGACACCTGGGGTAGTGACGAAAAAATCTTACACTTTTTGTCGCCTAGCTCCCATTAGCCAAACCCGTATCGTCCGATAAGGAACATCGTTCCAATAAATTAAGATTAGGTGATTAATTTCTTACCGGAACCGACATCATTTTCGTCGTAATCATCTATCTCCCCGCAATCATCCGGATCATCTGCTTGGGGCTGCTCTTGTAGATTGCTAGACCCACCCGCTTGTAAACCATCTGGTGCCAGTAAATCATAGAAAGCTCCGAAAGTACGTCCAGTGCCATATTTTCCGGCGACTGCCCTCCGATGTGGTGCTATTTTATTCGTTGGACAAAGTGATGGATTCACCGTAACCGCTTCTATCGTAACGATGAGCGTTGAAATCTGTAGAGGAATTACGTATATAACTGTCGTAATTTCTTTATTTAATTTTTCAAACAATTGATTGATACTTACGTATACTATTTTCAGCAGAATTAAAATAATTCCTAGATTATATGCCATGGTCACCAAAACACTTAATTTCAAAAACAAAAATAAAATGTAGGTACTTGTTATCTTAGATGTCCAACAATTCTGACTGAGAAATCAAAAGTTACTCTAACCAATCCTCTTGGTCTCCCACGCCACCACTGAATGAATTGAAATCCTTGAGCAATGACCGCCCCTTATATGAAAGACCGAGTATTGTAACGGAAGGTAACGAAACTGACCCGAAAATTGTGCGTATTAAAGGTAATAAGCATAATTTAGCATATCTGACAAAGCCTTACAGTTTCAGTTGTCACATATTTATTATTTATGACGGCCACGAGTTTTTGTCAGAGTACCTGACTACAAAGGTGCAATCCTTGGTTCGAATCTCAGACTGAGCCAATATTTAAATTGAAGAGCCAGTATAATAAATTGTTGATTCGGATTACTTGAGATTCAATGAATAATTATTTTAAAAAATTAAGGTTACGGCCTAACTACGTACCAATTTTGGACATAGGCCTGCTCTCATGTTTGAGAGGACTATATAGCCGTTCAATTACTCATAAAATATCTTCTCTCTACCACATGTATGCGGATGATGTCCAGATTTACACACAGTCAACTCTTGAGAATTTGCCGAATGCAATCGCTACATTGAATAACGATCTAAATATTATTCATGATTGGAGTAAATCATATGGCCTAAATGTGAATCCTAAAAAGTCTCAGGCTATCATTATTGGTAGCCAGAGTTTTATCTCAAGAGTTGATTGGTTCACCGTACCACCTATAGTATTCGATGGAGTTGTAATCCCTTACTTTGACAATGTCAAAAACCTTGGTATTTATATTGATAATTCCTTAAATTGGATACGCCAACTGAATGAGGTAAGTAAGAGAACCTTTGTCGCTCTTTGTTCACTGCGTCGCCTTCGATCATTTCTTCCCATTCCTACAAAAATTATGCTCGAACAGTCTCTTCTCCTTCCGATCCCCGACTATGCTGACGCAAGCTATGTAGACATAACTGAGGACCAGCTAAATAAGCTTGAGAGACTTCAAAATACTAGTATTCGGTTCATATTTGGATTGCGCAAATATGACCATATTTCCCAATTTCGCTCACGTCTCAAGTGGTTACCTATCCGACTTCGCCGGAACATGTATATTCTTTCTATTCTCTACTGTGTATTATTTCATCCTTCTGCTCCTCCCTATCTAAAAGAGAAGTTTAATTTTGTGGGGCTTCCGGGAGAACCTCTACGCTCTTCTAGAAAATTAGTTTTAAGGGTACCAACTCACAAAACATCGTTTTTTAATAAATCGTTCACTGTCGAGTCTATTAAGCTCTGGAATGCCCTACCTTTGCACATACGTGAAGCACAATCTATTGTAATCTTTAAAGAGACTACTTAAAGAACATTACTTGTCTCAATCGTCCGGAGACCGTTAGGATAATTATGTGATTATGTATTTATTGTATTTATCAGCTTTATATTATTGTTTGAGGAAATTTGTAATTTATTTATGTATTTTTGGGTAGATATGTAAGTTCGTTTATATACTCTTATTTATGTATATTTATGTATGTATTATATGCTTTACTTTATCTTTTATTATGTATTAGTAATTTATATCATTTCATGTGTTAGTTATTTATATGTTATTTTATTGCATTTATTGTCTATATATCGCATTTATTGATATTATATTTTGTATAATTATATTGCACCACCTACCCAGTATTCATTGTTTATTCCTTTATACCATTGGTTGCCTGGAAGAGATCGCTATGTAGCGATAAGGCCGCCAAATTGTACATTTAACCTGTCTATTGTTATGTAATTTGTTTATTAGTTTGTGGTGTACAATAAAGTATTTTCATTCATTCATTCATCTTGTGTTTACGTAGCGTTATTTTGATGCACTGTTTCTCTGTAGCTATCATATCATATATAATATCATCTGCAGAGCCTTTGCTTTATTACGAGTACAATGTCTTCAAGTAACCTCCAAATGAAAATTTGTAAGTAAGCTTTTGAGTAAATAAAGTGTTATTATTATTTTCGGGTATTTCAGCTCATAGAGCGAAGAGCACACAAGACTGGCTGGCGGCGCGTGAAATCGACTTCATCCGGCACGAAGACTGGCCCTCCTCCAGTCCAGATTTGAATCCGTTAGATTACAAGATATGGCAGGCAACATTTGGAGGAAAAGGCGTGCTCAAAGCGTCATCCCAATTTGGAATCACTCAAGACATCCTTGATTAAGGCAGCCGCCGATATTGACATGGACCTCGTTCGTGCTGCGATAGACGACTGGACGCCCAGATTGAAGGCCTGTATTCAAAATCACGGAGGTCAAATTGAATAAACTTTAGTGTCATAAGAACATATGTTTTGTTAAGTTCATTTTCTTTTTTCATTCTGTTGACAATAAATTAAAAAAAAATTTAAAAAAACTTTTGGTATATAAATGGTTACATAATGAATAAACTTGTTTCAATTATTTTATATTAAACATGTGACAGAATTTATGACCTGACTAGGTATATACATTAAATATAGTAAAATAAATAAATTGATTGATTAATTAATAAAAACCCAAACAGATGGAAGCCCTTGGCAGGGGAGACCAAACGGCCGAAACTTAGTGGGAAGGGGAAGAAACTGATCGACGATGCGAGCGGTATCGAGGAGCACCGTCTTCTGCATTAAACGGGGAGGGGTCCGTCAACGAGTCCAGTCGCCTCAAATGACCCAAGAGGCTGACCGGGATCAACCCATTTGTAGAAACGACCACAAGCAGACCACCGCACATGTCGGTCACCTCGTGAGTCAAGACCAAATATTTTGTTCACTCACTATTTTGGTTTTCAAGAGGTTCTCGCAATATGGAATGGTAATGTCTACCAAAAATATCCCTAACTGTGCCCGATCCATCAACACAATATCAGGTTTATTTGAAAGAATAGTCCGGTCCGTGATGGTGCGGCGGCGCGGTCGTTTTCAAGCACGGCTTGCGGCTGTATTTGTAATAAGGAAATTTCCGATCCACGTGACTGTTCTTCAGAGCGAGCTTCTGATGCAGTTCTGGCTACTGAGTTGTGTCTGTATAAATACTCAGTGTTAGAAAGTGCCGAACAACCGAAGATGACATACCTAAACGATTCATCGGGATGGATACATGACTCACCGGTGGGAACAGGTCCACAAAAGGCTCGTATAGAGCCTCCCGTGGAGCAGTTTCTCTTTCCTGCCGCCTCCTGCTATACCGCTCTATGCTGCCGAGTCTTGCCACTGCTCGACCGCTTTTTTATCCTTAAAGAAGTAATCCCTTTATCACACGTAAAGATGTCCTTGTAGAATGACTCATCCGACTTCGTCAAGAAGAAATTACGGAGGTTGCACACTTCCCGATTGTACATTGTGGGAGCGCTTAAAAAGTCACCCTCACGATGCCTCCGCGGCAAGTAGAGTCTCGCTTCTGACGATCTCGGATGATGCATCTTATAGGACTTCACAGCAGTGCGGACTTTTCTATTCAGTTAAGTTTGGTCTGAGTTCACTTGAGTATGCTACGTAAGGACAGGTATGCCCCAACTTCATCATTATTTTTAAAATGGTCAATATCCAGCAGTAGGCTGTGTCCTGTAACTAGATATAAAATCAAAATACGGCGCAAATACACTATGTTAGATACTTCTCTGTCCTAATTTAAATTTAAATTTGTTTTACTGTTGTATTATGCATTTATAAGGATCCTAATGAATACTAATTATTAGTTTATTACCAAAGAAACATATTTCAAACGTCTTAATAACCTTAAAAGGTAATTTTTGGCGAAACTGAATTTGAATCATCTCAAACTGTACTCTTGACTTTTATGTCATCACTTTCATAATGCTTTTCCTTAAGCGACAAAGTTTGACATCAATTATGAAATTGTGATCCATATTTGTAGCAGACATTATAATAAATTAGTTTGGTCATCGAGGGTCAATTCCAATCCCGTATATAAACATTTAGTTTAGTTTTATATCAGTAGGCTATTGTTTTGAAAATCTATTTTTTAATACCTATGATGGAAAAACTTTGTACCCCTTTTTATGCATATTGCGCTCACCGAGGAGTGTGAGATTTGGCATAGTTAAAGCCTATATTTATTTTATTAATTTATAAATATTTTATTTTATTTAATAAAAACATTAATTGTTCACGTTCATGCTGCCAATGTCATACACATTAATCCAGGGTGATGCAACTTTGTTTGAAAGCTGAGAAATCTGCACACAATCATGATTTTGTCAATATTTGTGTTGGGCTTGTAAAAATAAAGCGAGAAAAAAATATCGCTGTTTCTTTCTTTCGCGTTGCTTCAGATTGCCATTTTAAATATTAGATACAAATATACATAATTATTATATCGGAAGAAACTGTAAATGTTAATTCTGTGCTATATTTCTTTTTTGTTTGCACCTTACAGTAATTATATACATATTATTATTAGTAGGCGTTTCTTCGCGATTGTGTCTGTCAATATTTTTTGTGAGATGTTGACTCTATATGAAATATTGACTATACTTAAATTTATTATTAAAATTTTTTATTCACGATGTGTTATCAGAATCGAAAGTAAATTGAGCGTTTTGTAAACAAAAAGAACAAAATCATCTAATCACTTTCCTACAACAGAAGAAGAAAAACTTTTGACAATATTGTGGTAAGTCTTTAAGCATTTTGAATTCATTGATCGTTATTTGTAGGGATTATTACTATATTAACTCGAATTATATCTGTTTCAGATCATGTTTTTGGGCTGAGTTAAGTTTTCATCATGAGAATTTTGCTGATTTAAATTTACGTTAATGTTTTGTGAAGAATAACTCTCAGACAATAACATGTGTTACATATCAGTAACAAGCGTGAAAATATTATGTGCAAAAGCAATAAAAAAACATTAAT